TTTTCTAGTTATCGTAGAACTTAGATACCTAAATTTATCTACCTGTTCAAACATATTACCATCTATATCGATATCACCATTTTTGCAGCTAACCATATATTTTGTTTTATCCACGTTTATTTAGAGTCCTAGTTCTTTACCGGCTTTCATTAACGTTGTCGTATTTAGTTTTATAGTTTCAACGTCTTCGCTTAACAGTACCAGATCATCCGCATAGCCCAGCACGGATGTTGCACACCCAGATCCAACCCTTTCTCGGTTCGCATTACCTCCCTAATAGCATGTTCTAATGCCAAATTGAACAGGAAAGGCGAAAGGGAATCCCCATTTTAAACCCGAACGAACCTCAAATTTTTCGGAAAGATTATTACCGATTCTAACTTTATTGAGTGTCTCCATCAAGCACATCCTGACTAGATTTACTAGTTTTTTTGGAATCTCCTGCTCGATTAGAATATTATACAGTTTCTGGCGGTCAATAGAATCGTAAGCCTTTTTAAAATCTATATATAGTTGGTGAACAATACCGTTATACTCCAATTTTTTCTCTAATATTTGCCGTAAAGAAAATATTTGATCAATAGGCGAACGATTCCGTCTAAATCCGCATTGGTAGTCTCCGATAATTTCCTCGGCGTATTCCGTGATTCGACTGGTTAAGATTAAAGTGAATATTTTATAACATACCGGAAGGAGTGAAATTCCTCAATAGTTATTACAATCCATCCTCGGGCCCTTTTTGTGAATCGGAATAAGAATAGGAATAGATTTCACTTCAAAAATCTTTAAAAAAATATAATTACATCTGAGTGTTTATTTTATTTTTTTCTTCTTTTCCTTTCTAATTGTTGTTATCTTGACTATACTAAGCCCTAATGAAAGCCTAAAACTTCAGGCAAAATTTTGGCACGTAAGATCAATACTTTTAACTTCTACTATTTCACCTACCATCCACAATATTTCTCCCATAGTTAAATTATTTCTGCATATTTTATGTGCAATCCTGCTTCCATTCAGATAAATGCCTTCTGATTACTATTATCATAAAGGAGGATATCAAGAAAGAAAGAAACAATACTTAAAGATTATATTTGAACATATTTCACAGATTATTTATTAACTAAACTAAACAATAACAAATAAATTCATCCTCTATCGTTACAAGTACGCACATTGAGATGGTTCAAGTGCTTATTTTTCTTTTTACATTTGCAATATCATGTATATAGAGTGGTTAGGAAGTTAGTGGGGGGTTGTAATCACAATGAAAAACAGAAATAAAAATTTTTTATTTAGAGCTGATGTTTCGGCTTAAGGTTCAGATCTTTATCAGCACTGAAGAAAGAGAATATAGCAACCAAACAAAAACTATTACGAATATATAAGATAAGAACTATAATGGTAAAGAATGAAATCATAGATAAAATATTTTAGTAGTACATTTTTAAAATAAGAGAATAATGGACTGAGTGATACAATAAGAAAAAAATCAATAAATTGGACTATGTAGGCTGCCTCAAAAAAGTTTCCATATAGTTAGTTTTTAACATTGCTAAAATTCTATTTATCATATTATTTTCATTAATTAGGAAGCGTAGTAGAGACGATGGTGTACTAACATGATAACACGTTCATGGTGGATGCAATTAATCCCATACCAGAAAGAGATAAACTATAATATCTTAATTCTACTTCTATTCAATACCTTTATTACGCTTAAATTTATTATCTGAGCACTACACTCAAGGTCTAGTTACCGTCCAACCTTATGATTTGAAGTAGGCTAAATCTTGAATGTAGTGTTGAGATAATATATTTGAGCGAAATAATGGCATTCAAAATAAAGTTGCTTCTCTTCCTCCTATCGGATTAGTGATCCGATGAAATACCTTTGCCTCTACTACATTTTCTGATTAATAAAAATGATATAATAAATAGATTATTAGCATTGTACGTAGTCCTAAGTATTTTCTGTATCATTGTGTTATTCTTAAGGGAATTCACCCCATGGTAAAATTATTTTTCTATTTCTATATATATTCGTGCTTTACCATTGCACACAGAACTTATCTCATAGGTATTTATAATATGTTTGTTGTAATTTTTGTTTGATCATTAGATATTGTCATGATGAAGGCCTGAAATTTAGGCCAAAACACAGGCATAAGGAAATATTTTTAAAAATTTTTTTATTTGTGTTTTTCACTGTGACTGTATCCCCTAATAACTTTCCAACCATATAATCTACAATCGTTTCTCCATCATTATGTGTAAGGAGATTCAGCTATATATTTTTGTCGTTTATGACAACAACAAAAAAAAAAGATACACACATTTAATTTACTTACTTTTTAATAAATAAACTATACCAATAACTGGATGAATTAGCCCCGCTGCAAGAAGCTTGCCAAAAATGTGAATTTAACAATCAATTTTTTAATTTAAGGAATTATAAAAAAAAATTAAAATAAAATAAATAAAAACATATATAAGCATGATTTGCAACCAAAGCAACGGTGGTCACATGGTGATGCGGTCTCAAGGGTGACCGGCGGTGCTTTGGTGATTGCTGGCAGTGTGCAAGAACAAATGACCGGACGCTGGGGAATAAAGGAACCCTGGGATCTATGTAAGGATACATAGAGTTGCAACATAAAGTAACATTGAGGGTCAACATAAAACACAAAAGGATATTAACAAAGGATTAAGGATTTTAAGGAACATGCAAACAAATAGCCCTGCTTAAAGTTTCTTCCACATTTATTAATAAAAGAAATAAAACAAATAACAATAATATTTTTAGAATAAAAAATTTTAACTATTCACAATGAAAAAAAAAAGATGTACTGTCCTTCTTCAGATTTTTTTTTACATTTTTATTAAATTGAAAGTTTGAATTTAACAACAAACAATTTTTTAAAAAAATTTTATCTATTCACAATGAAAAAATAAAAAGATGTACTGTTCTTATTTAGATTTTTATTAAATTGAAAGTTTGAATTTAACAACAAACAATTTTTTAAAATTTTTTTATCTATTCACAATGAAAAAAAAAGATGTACTGTTCTTCTTCAGATTTTTATTAAATTGAAAGTTTGAATTTAACAACAAACAATTTTTTTCTTCAAACATAACATTTTCAAAAAGATAAAATATTTTTTACAAAATGAGACAACAAAATTCCAAAAGCAGCCAACTTCATTTACATGTTTTTAATTTTATTTTTTTTAAATTTATCACAATGTATGAATGATATTGAACAACCCGATGCAAAGGCTTGCTTTACTCGTTAAAAAGTTTAGGTAGGTGAACAACATTCCTTTTTTCATTGGTATGTATTCTTCAATTTCTTCTTTTATGATATTTTATTTGGCACATAGGATAAAATTTTGGACACAAAATTAAATATTTTTTTTAATTATACCACCAAAAAACAATGAAGTTGTAGAAAAGATAAGAGAAGGAGTTAATTGGGGGGTGCGGTCAAATAAATACTAAATTAAACAGATAGTAAGTATTTAATTTTTTCCGACGTTTTTCAACTGCCTCCCACAGTGCTACCTACATCTTACGCCCTGAAGATGACTTGCAAAGTGGATCGAAACGTCGGCAAAAATTAAATAATTACTATTTGTTTAATTTAGTATTTATTTGACCGCACCCGCCGATCAACTCCTTCTCATATTATATCAACGGTCAACCATCCCTACATCAATAGAAAAGATAAATTATAGTGATAGTATAATTCAAAATTATTATATCACTCAAACAAAATTGTTAAAGCCTCTCGGTAAAGTTGGAGAAAAAATCAATTTTCCTAATAATAACTAATTTATTCATACCAATAAAATAAAGTAATCTATTTATTGCACTGTAGATCTGACTGATGAATATAAATGAATTAATCCATATATTAAATTTTGTTTCATATTTTCATAATAAATATTTGAATTTTTAGGAAATAAATAAATAAATAAATAAATAAATATATATATATATATATATATATATATATATATATATATATATATATATATATATATATATATAGTTCATTTTAAAATAATAATTTTTAAATGTTCAATAACTAACATAGACAAAAGTTTTAGGCAATATGAATAATTACCGAGTAGACTAGATTAATTAACAATTTTGGTATTAAGATTATAATGAATTAAAATAATTTCTTTAAAAAACAATTATTCCATTTAAATGTTTTTTAAAGGAATTCTTTCACCTCATGATATCCTAATACCAAAACTGTTCATTAAGAACGAAACAAAATGGAGCTGGCTGGTTTTGGAATTCTGTGCCTGAAATTTGACAACAAACAACAGAAGGGAACTAAACTATTTACATAACAAAATTTTTGATTTAATTAAAATGAAACCCTAAAGATATCGAAATATCTTGAAGACTTCAAATAAGAATATTTTCTTATTTTATCACAAGCCAAATTTTATTTTACATTCTATCCGTACAAAATAATACAAAACTTGAAAAGATTTTTTATTTTCGAAATATATATTTGTAGGAAAATTGTGGTCCTTTTAAAACTTTTAATTTATTATTGATTAAATAAAGATCCTACTAAAAATCAATAAGCAAAATATGATAAATTATCATATAAAAATAAATAAGTTTTACCACAATATGTTTCTTCTAAATTTTCCGTCCCTCCCTCCCTCCCGATATTTCTACTAAATTGCATATTTTACGGACTAGGTTCCCTTTTGTTATATAAGCGTTTTTTGCCATTTATAATATTAAAAATATTTAAAAACACAAAAATATTTTTGGTTAATTTCACTATTCTGATAGGTTATGGTAAATAACACAAAGACTTGATTCTCCCTATTCAAGCGAGGTTAACAATATTTTTTTTTTTTTTTTGTACAAAAGTTAAAATTAGAAATTGGAAGAACCAGGGCCATAGTATGGATAATAATAGGGATAATAGGGATAATAGGGAGTCGAGGGGGGCTGATAGGACGACTTACCATGGGAATGGAGAAGTAAACGAGGGGGATAAGCTTGGTCCGTATAACAGTATTGCTGGTCTTGGTACGCTCCCGGCGGTGGGTGGTGGCAGAGAGGTGGCGAACCTAAGCTGCCTCCATAACCCACCCTTGTGCCACCTGTAAGCCATCATCGGCACATCTTTTAATATTACCGTCCTCTCACTTACAACTTACGTTCGCTCACATCATTTTATATATTTATAATTCACATTTTATACAAAATAAAAACATTCTTTGGCATAAAAAAAAATATTTTTGTCATGTATAAAACATTTTTTTTTAATTACAGAATCGGGAGTTGTATTTTACAAATAATTTTTTTTTTAACTGAATATAAAAATAAACAAAAAAAAAAAAATAAGAAATTTTACAAAATTTAAGGTAATTCACTTTTTAAATCAATTTAGGTTCCCTAAACCAATAATGAAGTAGTAGTAATATAAGATACAATTTTTATTTTTGAGGAAAAAGATGGTTCAAATGATATATTTTCCCTATTGGGAGTCATAAATAAAAATTCAAATAATGGAAACTATTATTGAAGGAAGTTAGTCGACTGTTCAGGGAGTTTTTCGAGCACTAAAGGTATTCAAGTACTGGTATTCAGTTATCTTCCTCTTCGTGCCATTACTAGCGTCGAGGAATGTCTATCCAATGCAGCCATGCCTCTCGGTCCATACTAAGCCGTCTCATTTCCTAGAGGGTTTTGCCTCTCTTCTCTCTTCTCAGAATCTTCCGCAGATCTCACTCCTCCTCCATCCGACAAACGTGGCCAAACCACTTCAACTGTCGGTTTTCCAGTAATATCCTTAGCTCCGCCACCTCCAGGTCCTCTCTTATGCACATTCTTGCACAACTTCAAGTACCTGCCCGTTACAGATCAGCTGGACGTCTTCTTGTTCCTCTCTTGATATGACTAGGACTTTGCTTTTGGAGCTATTGATAGTCATACCTTTGCGGAGGAGTTCTTCCTGCCATTCTACAAGGGCCTGCCGCAGCTTGTCTTTCGTGTCCGCAATCAGAACGATGTCATCGGCATATAGTAGGGTATTCAGGTATTCAGTACTTAAATACCTTTAGTGCTCCAAATACATCCTTATGACGACCCACATGTTTTGGGTTGAAACGTCGGCACTAATAAAAACTTTATAATGACTGCGTCCTGAATATTTATCACCCATGAAACTATTTATTAACTGTACTAGTCTGTGGTACAGACACCTTTTTATCAAATTAGGAACATTCGCCTTAACTTTTGTGAATAGCTTAATCTTATCGTAACCTACAAATATTTCATCTAAAAAATTTCTCAGAAATAGAGCATTTTCTCATTAAATTGGTTAATTTAATGAGGTACTAAAAACACATTTGACAAAAGTTCCAGATTGAAAACGTCCCAATTCTAAGAATTTTCATAAATAAAAAAGTTATAGGTTACGATGAGATGAAGCTATTTACGAATTTTTAGGCGGATGTTAATAATTTAATAAAAATGGTTCTGTACCACGGACTATTAGCTTCCCTATTTCTAAACGTAAAACATATGTAAGGTCAATAATGTCAAAAAAATAGACTTAAACTTAATGTGGGTGTGAAGTAATATTTTGACATTACAGTAAAAAAAAAAGGTACTACTTCAGAAGCACTACTCTTTCAGCCATATTGGTTGATGCTAGGTTATCAACAATGTTTCAGATAACGTTGACAACAGATATCACCACTATTGCGGAGGGGTAGTCTTGTCGACTCTTGTCCCCTCCACCACACCTTCATTTTAAGTAAATATAGAAATTATATCGTTTAGGTTACATATTAACCGCTGAATATCGATTGAACACCCATTCGATTTTATATTAGTAGTAGACTATTTCGTATTAGTATTATAATAAATAGAAGAGGTGAAAATCGGTTTGTGATTATCGTTGGTGGGAAACAAAAATTGAAATTGTTTCAACTTTCTTCTTAGAAATGATACAATTACAAATAAAATGTCAAAATTAAAACAAAACATAAGTTAATCAACTTCTTTAATTTACGATAACCAAACTGAAAAGCATAAATAATGATAAATCTCGAAGTTAAAAAAACAAAAAAAGGCAATATATAAACACAATAATCATAAATAATATAGAAATATAGAATGGAAAATCAAATTGATTGAGATTATATGTGTCTATAAATAATATCGAAAATATAGAAAGTTTGCTAAATCGATATACTAAAGAGAAAAAAAGTCGAAAAGCAGAAAAAAAAAAAAAAAGGCTAGTAATATATATCCTAAGGGTTGTATTTGGTAATAATTTGTAATGAACGTAAGGTGGAGGGGTGAATGGCTGACAAGACTACCCCAGCGCGACTAGTGACGCAGTCTGGTGCTATCTGTTGTAAATCTTATCTGAAACATTGTGGATGACCAAGATTGCTGAATGAGTAGTGCTTTGGAAGTAGTACAAAAATATATATATAGAATTAAAATTATTTTCCCAAGAATTGCATTAAAAAGTGTTACCTGTAACAAGATTGAATTAGGTGAAAATAAATATAGAATGCTAAATTTTATTATGATACATCATAATACAAACTCCCTATTCTGAATTAATCTAAGAGAATTTTAACAAAATAAAATAATTCACAAATAGAATAAAAAAAATGTATATAATATTGTAAATAATATAAAATAAGAAGCATTCTCTAAAGAAGATGGTAAGTTTTTTTGTTTATTTATTATATGCTACTGACATTAATAATGATGTATTCTTGAAGGAAGTTAGTCGACTATTCTACATATCATGGGTGATAAATATTCAGGAGGCAGACTTTTTTAAATTTTTTTTATTTTTGCCAACGTTTCAACCCATATGGGTCATCTTCAGGGTGTGGTTTGAGCACTGAGGGTGTTCAAGTACTGGCTTGAACACAAGTAGTACTTGAACACCCCCTCAGTGCTCAAACCACACCCTGAAAATGACCCACATGTTTGGGTTGAAACGTTGGCAAAAATAAAAAAATTTAAAAAAGATTGCGTCCTGAATATTTATCACCCATAATAATGATGTAGTTTTTTTTCTTTCTTATAATATAATTTTTGAAAAAATAAAAAAATTATTAATAAGTAATAAGTGTGAGCGTATAATTATTTAAAATAAACAAAAATATTTACCAAATTAATTTTAAAAAGGAATTCTGTTGTATTAAATATCCTGGAAAAAAAAAACCTTAAAGATCCCTTATAATAAGGAACTTATGCCTATTGTCGGCCAAAAATTGTAATATGCAGAAAAAAATGAAATTCATATTCCTGAAAAGCTTTTGAAGCTATATCAATCTATAAAAAATAAAGTATAGCTACGATTCAAAGCACTAAAAAAAATAAAATAAATAAATGAACAGAATCCGTATGCAGTTGGGCAAAAAATCCAAAAAAAATAATGTTTTGGCACTATTATGATATAGAATACACAAACCATAAAATTTATTTCATGCGATTGAAAAAAAAAAAAAAACTAATATAAGAAAGAGTAAGGAAGAAAACTAGATATGAGAAAATATATGATGTTTTTAAATCACTTGAATAGATTAAAAAAATGAATAAAAGTAACTAACTTTTGGAAAAATGCACCATAAACAATTTATACAAAAAGTTCACTGTACTACTTATAGTAATAGTATTACAATTATTATTATTATTATTATTACTAACTGAAGAAAGTATTCCTCAAGTTTTCAAAGATGCTATGCATTAGGCAGGCAAAAATCATGCTTTTCTTTCATCTTACTTTTTTTATATAATTTTTGTTTGAAATCTATATATTCTATTTCATAAAACCATACATTTTATTAATGATTCAACAACATTATTCCAATACAGAATATATTATAATACATGAGAAGGAGTTGGTCGGGGGGTGCGGTCAAATGATTACTATACATAAAAATAGTATTTTATTGTTTATTGACCCACTTTGTAGGTCTTCATCCGGGTCTACAAAAGATAAAAAAAATAAAAGTAATACGGATAAAGAAAAAAAAAATTATTAGTGATATTAAACAAGAAACAGTTGTCTGATAAAGAAATAATAACATGACATGAGAGATATAGGGCGACAATGTAGTTAAAATACCAATTATTACATATATAGAAGATACAAACAAAAATATAAAATAAAAATATAAAACATGAAGCGTGTAAGTTAAAAATAAACAGAATGTGACAAAAAGATAAGATATGAGTGGATAACAAACTAGTATCAAAGTTATCAAGTGTAACCTCTAATAACTTATTATCCGTTGATATCTTAGCTTTACTAGATCATTATTCATTCGTGTTTTAATTTCTTTATTAATTTTCTTTACCTGTTAACCTACAGTTATCAAATGTAATCTTTACCAGTTTGTTATCCACTCATATCTTATCTTTTTATTTTTAACGCTTCATGTAATATTCACCTTTGTTTTATATTTCTTATTCACAATTATTTTCTATTTTTGTTTGTAACTTCTACAAACATAATAATTGATATTTTAACTACAATGTCACTCTCTCATATCATGTTATTATTTCTTTATCAGACTGTTTCTTGTTTAATATCATTAATAATTTTTTTTTGTTTTTCATCATGTACTTTTTATTTTTTGTATCTTTAGTAGCCCCGATGAAGGCCTACAAAGTGGGTCAAAACGTCAGTGTAAACAATAAAATACTATTTTGATATATAATATTCATTTGTCCGCAATCCCCGACCAACTCCTCATATTATCATCACAGTCAACCATCTCTACACTATATTATAATATAATTCACCAACTACACTCAACAAATCAAAATTAAATATGAATATTTTTTCAATTGGGGAACTTGTTTTTATATGAAAAAAAAAAAAACTTCCGTCATGTAGGAGATTTACACAAAAACATAAAAAAAGAAATTGTAAATGAATTCATAATTTGAAAATATTTGTTAATACTGCTCGAAAAAAAAGAAATTAAACACCTAATCACACATTAAAATTTTAAAAAAGTGCTCCCTATTTGAAAATAATAGACAAATGGTAGAAATATATGCTCTTGAATTAAAAATAAAAATAATGAACAATATATTTTTTTCCCCCATTTACCATTTAAAGAAAATAAATTTGAGAAGACTATAGTAAAAGAGGGAGTAAGATATGATAAAAAGTTAAAAAGAATTTAAGGAAATTAACAATTCGAAGCAAAAAAAAAAAAAACCTTTTGAAAGATTATGAAAACTTAAAAAGTTATATAAATGACTAAAATATTTGAAATATAATTATCAATATAAACATAGTAAACCCAAAATAATTTCATTAAATATTCAGAAATACAAACACACGCAAAAAAAAAAAAAAAAAGAAAAATCCATTATTTTTATATAATAATTCATAATTGTTAGAACAATCAAATGAGTATATATATTCCATCAACTGTACTTAAGTAAGATAAAGATATTTATATAAAAAAAAAAAAAAACCTAATTATATATGATTCATTGAAAAAAAAATAGATTAAAAAATATCATCTTCTGAAACATATGTTTTTTTTTTTTCTAAACTGAATAAATGTAAAGAATCGACAGAATCATTATAAAATATTAAAGAATGATTACAGTAAGCTATTGCGAATCCCTCAATCCCTTGTCAGAGGGGACAGACTAAATTGCTGAATAGGATTGAGCCATGCACTCACACTTACTAATCCGTGAGTATCTGGACAACAAAAATGATTTCGAGATTGATATCAGCAGACAACATAAACCAAAAAATGGTATAAATTGTTATACAGATAATATTCTCTAATAGCCTATGGCTCAGGAGCATGAATCTATCGAAAAGATAACAAGGGAAAAGTTTCAATTCCTTTGGGCAAATATTGCTTTGGTATTTCAATCTGAGATACAAGCAATTTGCCATTGCGGTCAAAACCTATTGCTAAGCAAAGTGACTGGAAAAAAGATAATAATTTACACTGACAGACAAGCAGCAATAGGCGCCATAAATAATTACTGTAATCGAAGTATGTTAATTGTTAAAGAGTGCAGTATAGCACTTAACAATCTGTCTGAGCTTAATAGAGTTGCAATTGAGTGGGTGTCGAGTCATTCGAGCATTCTAGGCAACGAAGACAGTCAGGTTAGGCTGAGATACTATTGCGATAACTCCTGAACCTGTTTGTGGAATCAGCCATATAGCACTGCCAGAAGGAGGATTAGGGAATTATATGGTGAAAAATTTTGGACCGAGAAGAAAAAACATTCGAAGCTGTTCCTTAAAGGCCCATGTGATAAAAGAAGTAAGCTGCTACTGAATCTGGACAGAGTAGCTCTTAGAAAGTTTACAGCGATCTACACCGGCCACTGTAAGTTAAACTATCGATTGTTTAATCTCCGAGTGACTTTGAACCCACTCTGCAGATTCCGTCAGGAGGAGAATGAAATAGCCTTTCACATCGTATGCCAATGTGATAAGGCTAAGGCTAGAGCTATTTGAGGAGGATCGAACGGATCACTCTAACGGCCTTTTTTCCAAAAATTGGAAAAAAAAAACTTATTGAGATAAAATAAATATGTTGATGTACGATTGATTACAATCACGTATAACAGTATCAGATCAGCATGAATACCGAAAAAAAAATTTTTTTTGTAGATTATGGCTAAAAATTTCCGGTCAATTATATTATTTTAAATAAAATTGAAGTTACAGAAATGAAAAAAAGAAATAATTCCAATTATTTCAAATATGTATTGATCTAATTATGATTTATCAGGACTTGTATATCAGTTATTTTCTCATAAAATGTAATCTTCACATTTATAAATGATTCGGAAGCGTACAATTGAACATATTTTTCAAGATAATAAAATAATTTATACAATAAAACTTTGTTGTTTCGAAAATCAATCAGAATAAATGTTTATAAACAGATATAATAATTTTAGATTAAGTCTTAATATAAGAAATAAATAACCCACAAAACCCATAATCCAAAAAAAAAATTTTAAAAATCCATGAAATCATTCTTAATAATACACTTAAACGAAATTCCTTGAAAAAAGAGAATCAAAAATGTAAGCGTATAGTGTATATACCTGGTAACTGGGCATTCGGCGACGACTGCTGAGGCTGAGGTGCTGACACCTGGCGCTGCAGCCGAAATTGGTACGAGGAAGAACTGGCCTGCTGGTCAGCACCTGTGGGGAACCGCTGAGGGCCAGCGAGCGATCTTACGGGAGGTAAACCTGCTGTGGTAGCCCTTGCGTACCCTCGTCCTCCGCTCTGAAATAGAAAATTAAAATGTATAAATATATTTAATAAACAAAAATTTATTTCAATAGACTCCCATGTCTGGATCAATGAGGGGAAATGATTCAGATATGGGAAAGTGACCAAGATAAGTGTGAAGTAAATAAAAATATAAATAATTATATATTTATTGGTACTTGTCCATTAGTCGGACGGGACGAAACCTCCCTTGTTATCTAACGTTATGTCACATAATCTCCCTCTTTTTATCTCGCCAAACCTTTCAGTTATTAAATTCTTTATTTTTGGCCCGTTTGTGTTATTTTCGTCAAATTATGGATCTTGTTACATGCTGGGAATTACCATCTTAATAATAACAGGCTATTGAATATTTTCAAAACGTTGGGATAATTGCAAACGTGAAATTGTGTGAACAAGGTCATCAATGTATAGAGAGAAACACTTTATTTTCATAAAATATAAAATATAAAGGATTGCTGCCCAATTATATTGGGTTGCTATATCCACAGCATACTCTTCTATCCTTAGGACAATATATGAACTTATATATAAATATACAGAAGTGTTAGTTAATATTAGTAAAATAGATATATATACATATACATTATTATTATTTTTTTTTTAATACATTTTTATTATATATCAGATATATATATATATATATATATATATATATATATATATTATATATATATATATATATATATATATATATTAATTTAATATATATGTCACAAAATAAAAGTATTTTTTATTATTACATTTGTTTTTGTTTAAAATTTCAATAATACGAATATAATATAATAAATATGAATACGAAGATAGGAATTACGAGAAGGCTTATCAGAATTATCAGTGTTGAGGTTATAAACATTGGCAGGTAGCAATCAGTCCCACAGGGCTAATGGACAAGTACCTATTTATTTTATGTATTACTGAGGGGGGGTACCCACTGTGCACCCAACAGCAGACGAGTCCCCATTTTACAAATTATACAATTAATTGTAATACTTAGCGCCAGTTGTATAACTGTAATTTACTTCTATTCTATAGTTCAGATTATATAATTTTTTATCAACATAAAATAAATGGAATGAAACCACAGTTCGGACAAATTTTTAATTTCTTTGAAAATCTATATTATATTATAATATATATATATATATATATATATATATATATATATATATATATATATATATAAAATAAAATATTACACGGTTACTAAAAACATTTTCATAATAGAGAAATTATGTTGTTTTGTTTCACTCGGTCTCTGTTCGGGTGCAAAATACTGTGATAACGTCTTTTAGGCAGTTTTTATCAACTCTTTACTTTTTTAATTAATTATTTCAGCTGTACACATTTATTGTTACATTTCAAGATGGTATTTATAATAAGGAACTAAATTGAAATAATTTTTTTTTTCTTCTTTCTTATATGAACTACTTATTTATTTAATACAGATCAAAACTAGTAAAATGTTTACAATAGAGTTTTGTGTTATTTTAATGGTATTAATGAGTTCTTAGCTATAATTTTAAAGCTTTAGGAACGTTAGAAATGCACTTCAAAAATTGTTATAATAGCCCAACATTACCACGAAATAATTTCTAATCGAAGTAGAGCGGTAAGAGAAAGTTGTGTGATGCGTGCACCAGATTTTTTTTCCGTTGGCATTGCAGACCATGTAGATCTTTTGCCGCCTTAACAATAACTCACTTTGTTCGTTCGAACGGTACAAATTGCTTCATTTCAACATTGCACTCATACTATAGCAATGTGACGATTATAAATTTATCATAATAGAGCTCTCCTAATAAATATAAATAGAAAAAATGTAAAAAAAAAAAAAAAAATGCAATATGAAGATTGTATCAGACGTGATTCTTTTCAATTTCAATGGTTTTTTTTTCTTCAATGAATAAAAAATGTACTTTTTGAGATATTCACAAATAAAATTCTAAATTCATCATTACTTTTTTTAGCCTCTTTTCAGGAAAGTATGTTGTACACACAATTTAAAAGAATTCAAAGAGAAGACTTTACTCAAGTCTCATTAAAATCGTCTCAATAACTATGCTTTATAGCGATTCACGTTTTTCGTTCTTCATTTCGAAACTAAAGCCCAGATGGTAATGAAATTTATATACAAACAATTCTGAATTTGACTCCAACAATGTATCGAAATTTCAAAGCAATCGGTGAACAACTTTTGAAGATCAGCAGTTTTATATAAACTAAGATTAACATTTTTATTTATATACACTATTACCACTACACCAAACTTTTTTGTTTGATAACACGTAACCTCGTTCATATGTATTAAACAAAAAAAAGAAAAGAAAATTGGTTGAGAAAGGATTTGAATTGTTTAGTATTTGCCTACTTATATAATGTAATGTTCTCTTTCCCTCCAAAATCAAACAATGAGTTCCTTTTTCAATATACCAATTATTTCTCACACATAGATATAAATTTTCAGGTTGGGTTCTGACAACTAAACACTCATTCAAAATTAAATAACTATAATCTACACTAATTCACTAATTAATAATTACACTAATTATACATATAAAATTTATAATTGTTTTCAAAAACATTGATTGTCCCAGTCTAAACTTTGTGGCTCTATCCCTCTGTCAACATAAATGGTATTGTTAGCACTCAGCCAAATGTTTACGCCTACCAGTGAAATAATCTCTTCTTACTTACGAATGTTCCGTTTTCTGTACCACTTAATTAATTTCTTCCAACACAAAATAATCTCCACTAGTGGCCTCTATCGACACTCGAATCGGCTAGTGCTCCTTTTACATCTTCTCGACTTGCTGGCTGGTCGCGTTCTCTACCTGCTGGCTGGTCGCGTTCTCTACCTGCTGGCTGGTCGCGTTCTCTACTTGATGGCTGGTCGCGTTCTCTACTTGATGGCTGGTCGCGTTCTCTACTTGATGGCTGGTCACGTTTTCTACTTGATGGCTGTCCGCCACGTTCTCTACTTGATGGCTGGTCACGTTCTCTACTTGCTGGCTGGTCACCTTCTGCCGTTACATGAGGTTTGCTTCTCCCACCATCCGCACGCACTTCTTGTCTGTAGTTAGTGCTTTTACCACTTTCGCGCCAATATTAAAATACCTATGTAATTTTGACATTACAATGATGATTCGGACATTATTTATCGATGTAAAAACACAGTAAGTAACCCAAATGAAACAAACCCTTTTACAAATCTGATTGCACAATATTTTGATTTCACAGAGAAAAAAAAAATTATCAAAGTAATTACTTATTCGATTTCATGAAAAAGTACGTAATTAAATAATAATTTTAATATCTTACTGTCAATTGAGCATTGAGGACCGGGTTCTCCTGCTGCTGCAAGGATAGCCGTGAATTCTGCTGAGGCCAGCTAGCACCACCACCGCCATAACCTTGTTGGCCCTGTCAGAAAAATATGAATGAATGAAGGCACCGACGAAACAACTACAGCTATATCATTGATAGATTTCATGAGATTATGAATGAATACTGGATTTCATTAATAACTATTTCTATCGATTTAATGAAATAATACCTGAGAGAGCCTTGGAGACAGCTGAGGTTGCTGTTGGTAGCCCGTTATAGAACTAGGAGAGAGCCTCGCCTGAGGGCCGCTGCCAGAAGATGGCCCCCCTCCGCCGCTATTGGAGAAATTGGTCATTCCACCGCTGTAGATTGAAAAAGAACTAGTAACATTAATAATAAATTATAAACATTTAAATTACGGATAGCTAATTACAAAGACTAGTAGGCCCGTGCGAAAATTTCGCACAGCATATTGTTGAGTGATCAAATGCCAAATTAATAAGAAAATAAAATAATGCAACGTAATATAACATAAAGAAATCAAATGTTACTTTATCGATAAATATAATCAAAGAAAACAAAAATTAATTCAAATCTTAATTTTTTTTGGAAAAAACATGTTTACAAATTTCAATAAGCTGTAACTTTGCTAAAAATTGTCCAATTTCAATGATTTTTTTTTCTCATTTGTAGGGAATTTAGTAATATTTTATATGATTGTAGGCATAAGAGAAAAGTGTATACTTTTTTAGTTATTCACAAATAAAGTTTGTTTTCTTTCATAAGTTGTTTGCCTGAATTTTCGGGGTGATTCGACTATTTTGCCCGCCTGAAGGAGAAGGAAGCCTTCGAAATTGGTGGTTCAATCTTGAGGTTTGGTGAAAAATTAACGATGATATGGCTTGCCGATCAAAAACACCATCGATAAATAATATGAACTCCTCCTCTTTCGATCATAGGTGGCTCAAATCGACGAAATGAGACATGTATTCGATGACAGTACTACAATTAACATAAGGTTGTGTGGATGCGAACCCCATGCCTTCCGTTATCTCGAAAATAGTACGTTTTTGGGCTTAAAAATGCAGGAAGTATCCGGGTATTTGAAGAAGTTCTTCAAATGATAATTTCAAGAAGGAGATGATTCTCCTTATGTAGGTCAATACTATTATACGTTTTTTATATTAATTTTTTTATTTAATTTTATAAGTTCAACTCAGAATGTTTCTGATGATTATGAATGACGGCGTATTCACTCAGATGATTATGAATGTTCAATTTGAATCATGAGAAAAAGTCATTAGAATTAGTTTAAATTGAAGCCATTTTACAGATAAATTTGTTTCCCAACGTTTTAAAAATGACAGATGTCCTTTGCTACTAATCTACTGATATGTGCTTTCTATTTTCTTTATTTTTCATTTTGCCAGGCTAAGCCACAGCAGTGTGTAAAGCTAGTTTATTATACATAAAAGAACATTTACTACAAAATGATTTGAGTAAAAAAAAACAAATATAATGTTTTAGAGAAAGCATTTTTTATTTTAGAAAACTAAACTTTTAGTAATTTATTTTTATAATTTTTTTTTCCAGGTTTTCAAAGTCGGTCGCCACCCTGCAAACACCTTTTTTATTTAGAAAACTAGCGAGTGTTACCAACAGTCTCATCAATTTTTTTTTACTGCCAAATAAAGAGATTAAACAAAACAATAGTGATGTTATAAACAATATTGATAAATGAATTATTTTTTTAAAATTAGTTTGCTTGCACTGCCAAGGGCAGGATCAGAGAGATTTATGGGAACAAATTCAGTAATTACTGGACCGACAAGAAACAGCGACATTCGAAGCTGTTCCTAAAAGGTCCATGTGAAAAAAGAAGTAAAGAAGTACTGCTACTGAACATGGACAGAGCAGCCCTTAAAAAACTTACAGCGATCTATACAGGTCACTGTAAGCTAAACTATCATATGTTCAATCTCTGAGTAACGACGGATCCGCTATGCAGATTCTGTCAGGAGGAGAATGAAACAGCTTTTCACATCATAAACAGATGTGATAGATTTACAAGGCTGAGACTGGTGGTATTTGGGGAGGAACAAATGAATCTCCCCAGAAGTTATGAGTCGGTCAATCCAATCAGCCTACTTAGATACGCGGAAGTGACAGGATTAATGTTTTAATTAAAACGACCAACTGAAATTGGCGCACTATGGACCCATTAGGGGTCGACATGCTTATGGCCAACATATAAAAAAAAAAAAAAACTACTTTGCTTACATCCCCATCAATTATATATATATATAACTGCCATGTAAAACTATGATCAATTAAAAAACCAAAATTATAACGATCATTGAAAAAAAAAAAAAAAAAAGAACATGCTATATTATTAAATTAATATTTTCAGAGTAATCCCTCATACTTGAAACAAATTATTAAAAATTTATTAAAATATGTTTAATTATTTTATTAAAAACTTATCGATCTGCAGCGGGCAATAGTACAACTGTGGACAGGGTGATCGCCAGTAAATTTTATATTAGATATAAGCTAGATAACGTTAGATATAATAAGGTACATTTTTTCTCTTGAATATGAATCATGTGTGACCAGTGCGAGCTATACGTTGGGAACCTGTGTATTACACCTTAATCTTAAGCATACAGTAAAAATTTAATGGAAAATCTATTAATAAAATAAGCAATATGTGGTTTATTTTGTCGTTAGGAATAATTTCAGGTTTTGTTATTATAGGCTTTCTGCAGTGAGGCTGTCGATATAATGATGAAGTAATAATTAAAGATAAGGTTGGCAGTTGATATAATGATAAGTAATAATTATAGGTTAGGTTAACTTACTTCACAGGTGAGAAAGGCCTTCTTTGGCCTGGTGAGGGAACGGATCCCATGCCTGGGTAATTGCCCACTGGGGAAAGCTGGGAATCAGGAACGCTGCTCGATCTCTGCAAAATAACAAAAAAATTAATCAAAATTCTCATTATTAATCGAATAAAAATAATTAATTGTATATATTAATATTATACTAATTTCATAAAATATTCAAATAAACCACTACCTGGAGCGACACGTTCGGAGCAACGGTATTATTGATAAGGCTATCAATATTATGGAGTGCGGGGTCATTATTTGAGGCAGTCGCATTCGACGGAATAACAAGCTGTTGTTGTTGCTGCATGTGGAGTAATCGCTGCTTTTGTTGCATCTGCTGCTGCTGTTGCATTTTACTCCTCTGAGCCATAATCATCTGTTTTAATAAAAAAGAAAATTAATAAAAATAAATCCATGAAAAATGGGGAAATCACTAAAATTATTTTTTTTAAATTGATTTAATTTGGGAAAAAAAATATAATCTACATCGCTGATCCTAGTTTAAAGTAATTATTTTATAATTAACTAATTATATTTTTACAGAATGGAAAAAATCAAGGCTTGAAACGGAAAAAAACTTTTATTTTTATTAAAAGTTTTTCTATCACTAGAATTTCAATGGTCAATAATTTTTTCAGTTATTTTGGAATTAGAATTTATTCTCTTGTAATTGTGGGTAAATGGTTGACTTTCGTGAATAATGAAGAGAAGAATAGTTGGGGTGATTAGTCAAATAAGAAGGCAAAAATAAATGATAATATTTATTTTGACATTTGCTGACGTTTCGAACTGAAGTTCAGGCCTTCATCAGGGCTTTCATCATTCCTTTTCTCTGTTCTAACTCTTTATTATATTATACATTTTCTGTACATCTTGATAGACTTTACAATATCTCAATTTTCTATCTAACTATTCTATTCGCAATATCTTAATTTTACAATTTATTTCCATTTCTTATATAACTTCATATTCCTTTTTTATGTTTTACATTTTATTCTAAGATTACCATTTTAATACTTATGTCACCTTTTTTGATTATGTTTACTTTATCATTCCACACTTTGTACCGGTTATTATTATGTATCTCTTGTTATTACTATTGTCATTATTCTAATAACTGCATTTTACTTTAATTTTTATGTTTCTCATACCTATTGTTATCTGGTTCTTTACTTAGCCCTGATGAAGACCTGAACTTTAGCAAATGTCAAAATAAATATTATCATTTATTTTTGCCTTCTTATTTGATTGATCACCCCAACTATTCTTCTCTTCATTATTCTCTTGTAAATTTTTAAGTTTGTCTCGTTATTAAGACTAGTAGGCCCGTGCAAAAAATTCGCACAGCATATTGTTATCAAATGCCAAATTAATAAGAAAATGCAACATATCAAAAGATTAAGACATCAAATGTTACTTTATCAATAAATATAATCCACAAAGCAAACAAAAATTAACTTAAATCTTCATTTTTGTTTGGAACCAACATGTATACAAATTTCAGTAAGCTGTATATTTGCTAAAAATTGTCCGATTGCGATGATTTTTTTTAAAAAACCGATTTCGAGCCTTACTGTAATAATATATGTACGGATTGTCATTCCCAATTGACCAATTAGGAAGTATATTGGTTATATCCTTTTTATATCAAGGATATTATTATAAATTAGAGTGTTATAACAAAGTTTTGCTTTATATGTTAATAATATGAATGGTATATTACTGGACTGAGGGGGAACTGGCTTCGAATCTGTTGCTGCTGCTGGATAGGAAACCTCTGCCTTTGCTGATACATCGGAGGAGGGTGAAATTGTTGCTGCTGCGGCTGAGGTTGCTGTTGTGGTTGTGGTTGCTGTTGAGGCTGGGGTTGTGGTCCTGGAGACCCCTGCGACATCTTTAACAAAAAACATAATGAATAAATGATATAATGAATAAAATAAATAAAAATAAATAAAATAAATATAAAGAGGGGAAAAAAAATTTGAAAATTACCCATACCGTTCCTTGATAAGAAGGCCCTTTAACCGCCGATTCGCAGAGCATTAAAGACTTTTGTATAGCGCTAATCGCCATCTTTTCATTCAAATCTGTTTGAGATACGAACTGTTGTTGAACAGACTGCTGAGTCTCAGCTTCCAACGAGTTGATCATATTCATCAGAGCTGGCGCATCTAAAAATAGAAATTTCATGTAAACGATTATTGATTATTATTAATAATTGGTAAATGGTAGACTGTCGTGGATAATGAAGAGAAGAATAGTTGGGGTGGTCAGTCCAAAAAGTAGGCAAAAATAAATGATAATATTTATTTTTACATATGCCGATGTTTCGACCTGAAGTTCAGGTCTTCATCAGGGCTAAGAAAATAACCAGATAAGAAGGTATGAGAAACATAAGTAGTGATGGTAAAAAAAAATAAAAAATTATTAAAAAAAATAAAATAAAGTAAAATGAAATAGTAAAATGAATTTTTTTTTTTTAAATAATTTTTTATTATTTTTGACTGACCACCCCAACTATTCTTCTCTTGATTATTGATTATATTAGGTTATAAAACCGGTCGAGTAAAAGCGGAACAAACTTCTGATTATGGGTCGTTCTCTCAAAATGACAGCATTGCAGTCTTTAAAATTGTAATTGAAAACTATTTTTAGGATGGAAAAAAAAACTAAATGGTCAAAATCCGAGTCCTCTGGCAGATTCCTGATAAGTATGTTTGAAAAATATTGATAATGATGTAGAGATGGTTGACCGTTGATACAATATGAGAAGAAGTTAATCGGGGAGTGCGGTCAAATAAATACTAAATTAAAATATAGTAATTATTTAATTTTTGCCGACGTTTCGATCCACTTTGCAGGTCGTCTTCAGGGCTACAAAAGATACAAAACATGTTGAAAATAAAAATAAAATATAAGTAGATATAAAATAAGAAGAAGTTGTCAGATACAGAAATAAAAAGATGATTTCAGAGATATATAAAAATAAAAATAAAAATAAAGGAGAATATAGCATGTAAGTTCCGTACCTACATGTTTACTGTTAACTTACATGATATATTCTCCTTTATTTTTATTTTTATTCATACTTATTTTCCATTTGTTTGTATCTTCTACATATATAATACTTAATATTTTAACTACATTGTCACCCACTATACCTCTGATATCATCTTTTTATTTCTGTATCTGACAACTCCTTCTTATTTTATGTCTACTTATATTTATTTTCTATTTTCAAAATGTTTTGTATCTTTTGTAGCCCTGAAGACGACCTGCAAAAGTGGGTCGAAACGTCGGCAAAAATTAAATAATTACTATATTTTAATTTAGTATTTATTTGACCGCACCCCCTCCCCCCTCCCTGATTAACTCCTTCTCAAAAATATTGATACATCAAATTATTAATATTACTTACGAGGTTAGGAAAGAAAACTTCCTTTGTGACAAGTAATTGGTATATTTGTCGAATATTATTAAATGTTAACGTTTCGGTGTTGTTTTCCTCTTTTATTAGAACTTGTCACATTTTATCACAGTTAAATTTCTATAATACCAGTATTATTATAAATATATGTAGATGGTTAAAATTGTTATGGTTGATTATTATATTTACCCATTTGGTATGTTTACTAATTTATCATTATTTTTTCATTTATTCACATAAATGTTATCTGGGGCAATATATTTCTTGCCTAACGATTGGTTGGCTTTATCAAGTACTTAAGTTATCTTTTATCAACTGTTTTTCTTTCTACGGATTGTTAGATAGTTGGTTTTATTAGATTTAATAGTTTTAATTTTGTTAAGTATGTCTGAGTAATGTATTCCAACAAGATGTTTCGAAATTTATAGTTATGTTAATTGTTATACATATTCTTTTTGTGATATAGATGGCCTCAAGTAGTTTTCTATTTTTGTTCTGTACCTATTAATATATTTTATATTGATGTATCAATATTAAAGTTTGACCATTAAAACAAAAAATATTTACAAAGAAAGAAAAAAATATATTATTTTTGTCTTACATTTTTTTTAATATATTGTAATGTACACCTTTATTGAAAGTGAATAAAAAGGGTTTAATAAATTAATGTTGAACAATTAAAAGGCAAGCTAATCTAGTTCTACTAGTGCAGGGAAAAGAAAATGGCTGCTCTGTAGTTTCCCAAGATGGAAAATCCCAAAGAGGAGAGGGAAAAAGCTTTTGGTTTTGGCAAATAGTTGTTGTGTGACTGGAGTGAAGAGAGGTTAAGAGAAGATATCCTAACCTGCATACAGTGGGTAAAACCCAGAAATAGTTTTACCATCTTAGAAGATCTTGTTTGGCAGGGAGAATAGTTGTTTGGAATTGCAAGAGAGAGGATTTCCCAGAGAACTTGAGTTGAATGGATAAATAGCGTTACCATTTTGGAATGTGTTTGGCAGAACATAAGAAAATGTGTGAAGACAAATGAGTTCAGTGCCCACAAAGGAAGAAACATTGTATGTAGAAAAAAAGTTAGCTTGTCAATTAATAATTGACTTTATTTTAAAATCAATGTTTAATTTTAATATAAATAGCGTAAATAATAATAGTTGATCTGATTGCCAGTAACCCACACCCAAGATAAATAAATATATTAATTATCTTATAATTTTGTTTATTATTACACAACCTCTTATTTATTTAGGAAGTATCCCAATGGTAAGAAGTGAGCTTCCGAGGTTATATTATTATTATTATTTGTAAAATATAAGAGAAAAGATGCTACTATATATATATATATATATATATTAGTAAGATTTTTTTTCCCTCTAGTTCTTTGTAATAAATTTTTAAATGATAATATTTTCAATGGGTTTTTATTAATTCATTTAATATTGACTTATTTCTGTTCTTTTTCATATTTAAGCTAATTAATTGATATTTTGTTCCATTTCCAATTCCAAGAAATACGTTTTTGTTTTCTTAATTTAAAAAAGGTAATAAAAAATCATAAACTCTAATTATGAACTATTTAAATTTACTCCCTTTTATTCCAAGATCATCGAAATTGTCGCTAATTTTATACTATTTATCTTCGCTTAACTTATTTATTTCAATCCCAGTTCTTTACTGATTTTTACTTTCACTTACGTATATATGTAATATATAGTAAGGGTAAGTATTGCGATCGAGAAAATTTTTAAATCTCAGTTTTCAACAGAAATAGACGTTTTGAGGTACCCCGAGTCGAAATGACCAAGTACCGACAAATGGTCTGTGTGTTTGTATGTTAGCAGTCTAGCTAAAAGATGAAAAGTCCTACGAAACTGATATTACGTATTTAAGATAGATATATGCCTTAGATGTGACGGCAACTTTTTCCTTAAAATTGGCTAACCGGAAGTACCACTTTATATCAACGCTGAAACACATTTTCACAATTTTCTCAAAAACGGCTCAAACGATTTTGATTAAACTCGGTGTATCATTGTATAATTAAGAGAACGAAGGGGACCGTTCTCTTGGGCCAGTTACTATTAACTTTCCCGCCATTTAAGTACTTTAACCTTAACCACATTCAGTTATATAGCAGGAGCAGATTTACATTCGAAATTTAGGCTACACATCATGAAACCTGAATTGAGCTTGTACATATATTATAGATCTGTAAAAAAGAAATAGTAATACATAAAAATCTTTAATTATTACATCTCTGGCTGCTATTTCACAATATTATTTTTCTTATAGATGATTTCCAATATTCATTATCTTGGAATTATTACATGTTCTTCATCAGTTGTTTCCCAAATACGTTAATTCCTTTCTCGAAAATAAATACTTTTTTTTTGTACCATAGCCAACAATAATCCCTTTTTTCGGATTACCAAGAAAAATAATTGCGAATAACAATAATTACAAATCAGACAGTATATGCATACAAAGCACCCCCCTCCACTAGAAAATAGACCCTCGTATTATTAGAAATCTAAAAAAATACATAAACTAGATAGACGATTGCGATTCTAAAAAAGGCTTGCTAAAATAAATTATAAATTCAATTATTCCAACTTCTATTGAAAAACTCGAATAACAAAAAAAAAGATAATAGATAACTTAAAATTATTTATTATCCAAATGATAAAAAATCGTTTATGCACAGTTATAAAAGATAATATACAGTATATGCGTATTTACAGCCACTACATGTAAGCACGTGTCAATAAAAATGTTATTACTAGAAGCTTTTTTTTTTAATAGGGCTTGAAGAAACTACTCAAACATTATTTTATGTATTTTTCTCTTTTTCTTTAAAGTAATAACCGTTATTATTAACTTAAAAATTAATAATTAACTAATTAGTAAATACAAAATTTTTTAATAAGCAAGTTCTATAAAGGGAATACGTTGTATTTTTTTCAAAAATGCATGAAAAGGGATTGTATTATGGGGCAATAGCTGACGTCATAAAAGACGACAACATTCGGCTGTTTTCGGGATTCCATGAACAAGTGTGATCGAAGTGATTGTGAACCACGCGTAATCCGTGCGGAACTCTTGTGAACTAGTACCAAAATGCTAAATATAACTTTTGAAAGAATTTGATAAGTTAATAAAGGAGAAAAAAAATGCAGAAAAACCTGCGTTCCTACTGACTTTAGCGCCTAAACGAATATACCGATTTCAATGAAACTTCGCTAAAGTCATTTTCTCGATACCTTTTAAATTTATCTATATACCATAATTCAACGAAAAGAAGCTGGAAAAAAAGTTACTAGGGATGTTAAAATTAAATTCCGAATAACTCAAAAAGTATACGCTTTTTTGTCAATATTGTAATGGTTTTTTAAAAGTTTATGGAATTTACTAAAAAAACAAAAAAAAATTGTTAAAATCGGATGATTAGGAGGAAAGATATGGTCTCTAGTTTTTTTTCCCCGAAGAGGTGAAAATTTGGATAAATTTAAAATATATTTTTTTAATTGTTGAGACTAAAAAAACCTTTTTTCTATAGATATTTAATAAAGTGTCTTTCCTAACAACATCTTTCATAAGAAAGTAGTACCTAAATTTATACTTTTATTCTCAGTTCTATATTTCAACATTGCAATCACCACCTCTGGAATCAACTTACTCATTGTCTTCATAGATAACTTTTTCAACTAAAAATATCACTAAAATGACATCACTCAAAAATGTTGAAATTGGAGTTAGACATTCTGTGGTTTATAAAAGCAAAGAAAGTTGTATGGTTTATAAAAGCAGATAGAGTGAATAGATTTTTATTGCCTGTTGTTGATATATTAAATAGACATTTTGTAATTATAATGGTCTTAATGATTTGTTATCTGTAAGCTTTAAGCTTTAGCTCTGTTTAAAATGCACTTCAAAAATTTTTATAATAGCCCAGCATTGCCTGTTAAAAAAGTTGTGTGTTGCACGCACCAGATTTTTATATCTAGTTTAATAGAGTGCCAGTCATTAAAAAAATATTAAATATAAATATATTTGCCTTATTCAGGAATGTTCTCAGGCATTCTTAATGATATACAAAAAGAAAAAATACGGGGCTAAAAAATGTCACAAAAAACCCTTAAATTTGACTGAAAATTCTGTAATTTTTGGAGAATGACCCTTATCTAGAATATAATGCTAATTAAAGCTATTCATACCTGTGTTAACATCTGGTACTATCTCGATGACTTGATCGAGGATGTCCGAGAGTACGGGATCGGATGACGCAGAGTCCCACATGTGGGCTGCGGAGTTATAACCAGGGCTCCTGCCTTGCCTGCTATGGCCGGGCGACGCCGCAGCGGTGTGGACGCTACCGCCGGACCAGCCGGCTGAAACAATAATTATAGATGCTTCACAATGTATAAGCATCATTAGTATGTTATTTTACGAAAATACATTAATAAAAAATTATACAGCAAATCCTCGTTTCAACTAATTCAAAGGGAACAGAAATTCATTACTTAGTTATAATTAAGTTTTTAATATCCGTATAAAAACAAAAATACATAGATTAATAGTTTAGGTTTTTAAAAAAAATAAAACCTTAATAAATAACTATATTGTAACGTTCCTCTTTCCCTCCAAAATCAAACGAGTTTCCTTTTTCAATATACTATTTATTTTAACATATAACATAAATTCTCAGGTTGGGTTCTGACAACTGAACACTCATTCAACATTAAATAACTATAATTTACTAATTACTAAATACACTAATGATACATATAAAATTTATTATTGTTTTCAAAAACCTTGATTGTCCTGGTCTAAACTTTGTGGCTCTATTCCTCTGTCAACATAAATGGCATTGTTAGCACTCATCCAAATGTTTACGCCTGTCAGCGAAATAAACTATTCTTATTTATGAATGTTCCGTTTTCTGTACCACTTAATTAATTTCTGCTATGTTTTTTCTTCCAACATAAAATAATCTCCACTAGTGGCCTCTATCAACACTCGAACCGGCTAGGACTCCTTTTTCACTTTCTCACTTGGCAGCTCGTCACCTTCTCTCTTGACAGCTTGTCACATTCTGAGTTACATGAGGCTTGCTTCCCTCACCATCCGCACGCACTTCCTCCCCGTAGTTCGTGCTGTTACCACTCCAAGTTTTTCTTTGTTATTTTTTTTTTTTTAATATACAGAATCCTATATCTTGTGAGATTAGTAATTTAATTATCGAGACTTATCCGGTTTATTATCATGTTTTTAATTTTATTGAAATAGGAAAATGCTGAATGTCTCTTTAACCTTCTTCTTTTCCTTCCACCTTTGTGCCTCTCAGCGTGGAGGTGCCTCATGGAATCCAGTCACTAAGCTCTTCTCTCTCCCAACTGGTCCATACGATCCATCCATGACATCCTTGGCCTGCTTCTTGGTCTTTTACCAGTTGTTTTTGCTTCCAGGAACTTGTGGTTCGCAATCTTTATTCATTCGGCATACATGACGGGACCACTTCAGTTGCTTCTTCACTATGGCCTGAACTAAGGGTTTCACACTCTTCTCTTATTCTCTCATCCCTAATAAGATCTCTCTGAGTTTGTCCAGCTACTTTTCTAAGATACTTCATCTCTGCTGCAGCGACTCTGCTTGAATGCTCGTCGAAAGGAACACAGCTCTCACTTCCATATAGGAGTGTGGCGAGATAGATCGTGTTAAAAATGTGTAGTTTCACCTTTTTTTCCACTTCCCGTTTCCCAATAACAGTGTTGTGTATTTGGTAGTATACGTCGTTTGCCTTTTGGATCCTGCTGGATATTTCTTGATCTATTTCACCATTTCTGTTGATAACTGCTCCTAGGTATGTGAAGTCTTCTAAAGTTTCTAGAATTTCTCTTCTACAAGTAATCCGCACATTCTCAACTACACGTCCAATTTGCAAGCCCTTCCTCTCAAGCTCCACCTTCCATTTCACAACAGCCTGTTGAAGACTCTGGGCAGAGTCTGCTACGAGAACTATGTCAATGTGATAATTTCAGACAAATTTTTACACGTTGTTTTTAGGATATAAATTGAGTCCAGAATAAAAATTTGTTAATTACTATTAATTAGCTAGTGATAAATTAGCGATATTCAATCCTAACACCACCATAGTGACACGATCATAATGTGATAGAATACTTATGGGCAAAATTGGAGGTAGAAATTAGAAAACACAAAATTTCTAGCAAAGAATACTATAAAAAATATTTTATTCTCGAAGAATAAAACTAGCTAAGCCCGGTATCACCAAAAAATTGGCCGACTCCATTACAAACAGACTGAAAGAAATGGTAGAAAACAATGGATTACCTTAATCTGACTAAATTAATAGTACTTAAAAGTTAATAAGAAGTGAGGTGTACCATTTTGACGGTGAGGTTGAAAAATTATCCAGTTTAAATTTTTTTAAAATAATCACAGTAAAATATTTTAATTTTATTGAGTTTGTATATATTATATTTAAATTGAGATTATAAATAAAAAGTTTCTTGGTTTATTAATTTCACTGAGTGCCACTGTATATAATTATGTAATGGAAAAAATTGAGTTACCAATTTAAAGGTGAAAAAAATAATCGATTCAATTTTTCTTGTCAGTCCAACAACTCTTATACAGTTTGTTAACAATGCTTAATTAATGTTTTGAAATAAAAAACGGACGATTATGGTGCAAGATAGGCCTGTCTTCTCCGTTGCACATTATGCAACAAAAAAAAAAACTATGAAAAAGAGGGAAAGCTTAATGATTTTGGTGGAAATAAGATTTCTTAAAAAAAAACAAAAAAAAAAAAACTGAGAATTCAGGTAATCAACGAGCCATTCTCATTAAACCAGTATCAAAACACACCTCTATAGAAAATTTTAAACTTGGGACAAACCCTCTCTGTAGCTTTAGAACAGTCTACCAGAATATCCTTCAGACATATCCTGAGGTGGAAGACATCAGAAAGCTAATTTGGCTTAACCGCATGGACTTCGCGACAAAACTCTGGGAGTATCTGGTCTGGAATATGGGAGTTTATACTCTCAATCCCAGACCTCACTAAGACCAAGGCTCTTGTACCGTTCCGAAACGTTCAGATGGTAGAATTCACTATACTTTTTCACAGGTTGTTAAAGACTGCAGTGCAGTACTAAACAACCTTGCTGAGCATAACAAGGTTGCCATCGAATAGGTGCCTGGTCACTCCGGCATCCCAGGGAATGAAGATGCTGATAGACCAGCCACGTTAAGCAAACCCTACACAATAATTCATGAATGGCAGTCAAATGACTGACAAGGATTCCTTCAATCATGATGACCTCGGATTTAGTACATTGTCCATTTATAATAATATGTTACATTAATAAGCCTTTTATGGCCATTATCCTTTATAGCATTTGACATAAAGAGAAAAATGGAGATATAATAATTACCTCTACGTGCCTGAAAATCGTTTTGACAAAAGTTAGCAAAATATAAGTCTACTACTTACAAAAATTAAGGAAAATTATTGCAGATATAATAAATTTGTGAAGAAAAAGAACTGAAAAAATGTACAGTAAAAGATTTTTTTTTTTCTGTAAGTAAATTGTGAACATTCAGCTTTTTAAAAAATTTATTACCTAATTGACTATTTTTTAAGATGGTTTATAAAAATATAAACAAGGAATATGAAAAACTATTTACCTTTAATAAAAATTAGGAATTTACAATGGTTGAGAGGTCTAGGTAAACTAATCTTCCTAGTAAAAAGGTTACTCTCCCAACCGCTTTTATGTCAGTCTCCCCATCACTTACCGTGATTGAGCCTTTGGTTTCCGGAAATCCGCCAGACACATCCATCAGAACGTCAATAGAGCCTCAGAATGCAATTCCGAATTATAGTGAAGGGTCCGCATCTGTGGAATAAGTCTAAGCAATGCCAAAAGAATTGTGCGAGTTTGAAATCTCATCCAAGCTTATCCACCTGATTCAAACTACAATGAATGATGTTAGGTTTGCGGTCCGAGTTGTAACAGGATTTATCATCCCAATTCATCACAAAGAAAGTATTGATACAGCCTTTAAATCTTACTTTAGCGAGGATAATTAGAAAAGCTGGAATAGGAACCGCAGCTACCATTTATGATAGGATGGTGCAGGTGCTTGGATACATGGATGATTTGGACATTGTAGCTATGCTTTTCTAAGCATAATGGAAGAAGCAGCGGGTATGGGGCTAACAATAAATCAAGAGAAGACTAAATATATGAGAGCTGGTCCGAGGACAGATAATTTCATCAGAGATCCTGTCACAATTGGACCGTTTACATTACAATAATTAATTTCTCGAATAAAATATCTTTTGAGACCAGTGTAGTAGATGGTCTCTATTTACTCCTTTATATTTATATGACATTGAGCGAGGGAATGAAAAGGACTGTAGGGTTGCACTATGAATTGAACTGGAAAAGTGTCCGGCAGGTGGAAGCAGCTGGAGACAAAGGAAGGAAAAAGACTTCACTTGTGCCTGAGGCATGAAGACGGAAGTACGTGATGGCAGGAAAGAAGAACACTCCACTGAAGATTAAGCCTACAGTTGTAAGGCTTTAATAGATTCATTTATTACAGTTGTTGAAATAAATGATCATGTTATACAGAAGTGGTTTTATTTAGTTACCCTATATGCCTCACAATTGAACAATAACAAACCAGGTGAGTCAATTCATTCAAAGTGTATTTGCTCAGCCCCATATTTCAATAAATATATTCTTATTATTTCTTGCCACTCTGTCACAAAAGCATTAGGTTCCCGAATTCCCAACAGCAGCAAACACCCTCAAAAGTTTATATCCAGAGCCAGGGTTTCGTTTTTTTAAATTAAAATTCAAGAGTGTAAATAACCAAGACTCCCGACAGAATGGAAGTTTATTTACACCAGTCAACGAATAAAGAAGGCCAATTGCTGCTAATTTGACCTCAAAAAGCAACTTAACAGTAAGGCCTCGTCTCATCAGACCAAGTGCCAAATTTATAAAACACTTATGTCACTGAAATTAACTTATGCCTCAGAGACGTGGATTCTGACAAGTTCAGAAGAGAAAGAGTTCCTTATCTTTGAAAGAAAGACTTTGCCTCGTATTTTTGGACCAATTAAGGAAGGGAACCAATGGAGGAGGCCATATATCAGATGAATATATGAACTATTTGGTGAAGTAAATGTCATTCGTTTTATAAAGTGTAGTCGATTGAGATGGGCAGGCAGCAAGGATGAACGAGGAAGAAATCCCCAAAACCACTTTTTAGGAATCTGGACCAGTCAAGAGGAAGGGCGAGGCTAAGGTGGGGAGATACAGTTACAGATGCTCAGGCCCTTTTGGGAGCACAGGATCGAGCTATCTGGGAAGACTCATTGAGGAGGCCAAAGTCCACATCGGGCCGTAGTGCCATTAGAAGAAGAACAAGAATGCCAAAAGAAGGATAAAGAAACTTTATGGGGCTAAGATCAAGCAGTATTGGTCTGGCAAGAAACAGCGACATTCAAAGCTATTCCTTGAAGGGCCCTGTGATAAAACTAGTAAATTGCTAATTTGGATATAGCATCACTTATAAAACTCACAGCAATCTACAATGGTCACTGTAAGTTAAGTTGTTATATGTTCAATCTCAGACTGGCTAAAGATCCACTATGTGGATTTTCTCACGGTGAGAATAAAACAATCTTTCACATTGTGTATCAGTGCGATAGGTTTGCAAGGCTAAGACTCGAGCTGTTTGGCGAGGACCGAGCGAGTGGCCTCAAGAGCTATGAATCGATTAACCCTATAAGCCTACTCAACTGCGCAAACGCGACGAAATTAATGTTTTAATAGATCATAGCACATGGTACACAATAGACCCCAGTGGTTGCGGTGCATTCATGAAAAAACAGAGAAAAACAAAAAACATTTAGAAATTCATTACATTATAAAAAAAAATAATATGTCCATACATGCATACATGACAGATATTGTTATGTTTATCTTAAAAAAAAGAAAAAGATTATAATGATAATCAGCTAGAACAACGAAGTTTACAAGGTCCATTCAAGATCGTTATAAACGATATCCACGGTATATTCATTTCCAATTTGAAAAAAATATTTACATACCACAACATTTTCTAGATTCAAAAATCTTTTTCTGTTTTTTGCCGGTAATGAAACCGTTCTCAAGTTTTCTTTTTTGCCCCATCGGTCGCCAGCCTGAAAATACTATTATAGTGAGTATATGTAAAATAAAAATATTTTTCTAACGTTAAGGCAAATATATTTCCACTTTTCTTTAGTTTTTTTTAATCACATCTATTACATCTGACGTTTCGGAACAATTTTCCCATCCTCAGAGAATTCCTTATGTTTACTGAAATTATACGTATTTGAAATAAACTATTTTTACATTGTTAATCTACTCTATTTATTGCCTAATTATCTTCCTTGATTTTGTGATGTGGCAGCAGTTGTCAAAAATTATAATAATTGTCATATCTATTTCTCCAGGGTATGTGAGGCCCATCAGCCTACTGGAGGCAATTCACGCCGACCAGCTGTAGGATTGATGATCCTGCTCCGTACTTTAAATCGGAAATCGGAATGTGGTTTGTGACTAATAGACCACACTCGTGGTCAAAGATATTCATGGTCTGTAGCGTCAACCGAAAAAAAAAATTGTCATATATATTTAAATATAATGCTTTTTGGTGTTACACATTCATTTCTTGTTCATTATTACACCAACCAATGTCTGGCTACCTCCAGTTCCATTACTGCACTTTGCACCTGTCCACTTATTCCTCATTATGGCTGTTTGTTTTGATAATATTGTATATTGTTATTTATGAATTTTAATATTGGATATTATGTCCGAGTAGTGCGTGCCTAAGTGTTTTGTATCCGTTTTATTATTATTTTTTGTTATGTATATGGCTTCTAGTAGTTTTCTGTTGTTGGTTTTTGGTTCTAATATTTGTGATTTTTGAAGTAAAATGAGTCAAGCGATTTAATACTATGGTTAGCCAGGGCTGTTAAATTAATGTTTTTTACTATTTTTACAGTTTGACGTATGCTGTGATATTCTGGTTTTTAGTTTTTTTTTTTTATGTTTCGCCTCTATATATATATAATGTACAATGCCTATATTTTATCTTATGTGTTTGTCAAGTATTTTCCCAATTTTTTATCGTTATATATGGCAAACTGAATCTCCGGTAAGTCATAGTTTATGAAAACTTTTTTGATTTGTCTTGTAAGCAAGCTGTGGTATGTTGTCATTTTGTTACAAATTATTTTATTGTATATTTTGTTTATTTGTGGATTATTGTTTTGGTTGTTGTCATTTGCTGTGTCTGTCTCCTTGAAAACCTGTGTAATAAATTGTTGTTTAGGCTTTTTACATTGTCAGATATTATTTATTGGTGTTTTTTGTATTTCTTGTTTTTTGTTTTTGTTCTCATTTTTTATGTGTATTTTGTTGTGTGATCTGCTGAACCATAATTTATTTATTAGTTTAATAGGATAGAAATTTTCTGCAAGTATTTTGTATTTTTATTTTTGAAATGTAAGTATGTTTGCCTTAACCTTAGAAAAATTTATAAACATAAGCTTCCTAAAAAAAGATAAATAAAAACATTTTTCTAGGGGGGTTTAGTTTTAGTTTGCTGTAACGAAGGTTTACTGTATATAAAAAAAAAATATTACAATATCTTACTTGTTTGCGGGTGTTTAACAAGACGTTGCAGTTTATCCTGCGGTGTAGCGGAGATGACAGAAGCTGGAATAGGCGGAATCGATGCCGGAGTAGTCGGGCGCTTGGCCAATAGAGAAGCAAGCATTTGGTTCTTCTCCCAAAGCCTCGATTTACCTGACGCAGCGGACGGCGCCGAGGGTGTTGGGGGAGGTACGGCATCCAGAAGGGATGAGGAAGATCTTTTTGGGCCAGGTTGGTCTTCGCTTTCATCTGAAGATGGGCGCTTCCTTCCTCCTCTGCTTTCCTCGCTGGTTTCTCCACGGAACCCAAGGCTTTTAAGGAGACCATCATCACCGCTCTGCTGGTTCTAAAGTAATAATAAAAATATATAACATTTCATTTCATCGTAGTTAAAATTTAACATAACTTAATTTAAAAGAAATATATTTCAGTAGCTGTTCAGTGTGTAAACGTTCATAATTATAATTTCTTCACGATTATTACTATTAAACTTAGCCTGATAAGGATCTTAAGTTTATGATATGGATAATTATAATACATATAAAAATTTTACTAGTTATATTCTAGAAAAACATGTGAAAAAAACTTCGATTGAAGTTGAAGGTCAATTTATCCTTGCTAATAGATTCTTTCTTCAAATTTGTATACATAAGAATGAGGTGTTTATAGTTTCTATTAATAAGATAATTTATTGTAAAATTCTCTTAATATTCAGGAATAATATCTGATTTTACAACATGTCAATTTTCATCTGAAAATATATAAAAAATCTCTTAGAGGATTTACTAGTGGACACTAGTTCATTTGATGCAAACCTTAAAATTATACAAAACATCTTTCCGAATTTCTTAAAAAAACATTCATTGAATAAGATATAGAGGAAATTAAAATAGCATAAAAATTCTCTAATAAGCTGCACAAAAATTAGTCACCACTAAAAGATAAAATAGTTATGAACAGGAATTACAATTTCATTTACAAAATCGATTATCTACATTGCCCAAATGCATATATCGGCACGACAACTTAAAACTTCAGCAGTAGACATTAACGACGTATAAATTCTTGTGCAGATTATATAGATAAAAATAAAGAAAAAAAGAACAAAAATAAAATACTCAAGATAATTAAATAAAAAGAATAACTATAATAAAATTATAAGACGGGTTTCTTGGAAGAGTTGAAGATTAACTTCAATAGTACATTGTCACATCTCCTTATTAAATTTCTTGAAGATGTCTTCTAGCGACCAATTATCCCTTAGTAAAATTATTGTTGTCGAAAATAGGATAGTCACACAGAATGTTTGATTTCAATTAAGATTTGCATCATCCAAGCCCAGTTTAATTTATTTTTTAATTATATAAGCAAAACAGATATAATACAGGGTAGTTACAAAAAATATTACGCATTAATTTGTATATATTGGGGAGAAATGGATTTTTAAGTTCGTTCGGAAAGAAAAAAAAAAAAAAAGATTTGACTGACAAAAAGGGAAATTAAAAGAAATATAGAGACGCTGTAACAGTGTGTTAATGTGAGTCTAACTGCGTTTTAAAATAAACATAAAGATTTTTTTTCTAATTACAGTAGTTCATTTTATTTTAATAACCTAAATATTTGACCCCCAACCAACTTCTACTTTCAATAAAATTGATTTAAGAAAATTTTAAGGAAATAAAAATATTTGAAATGATTTATATGTTTATATATATATATATATATATATATATATATATATATATATATATATATATATATATATATATATATATTTTAATTAAGTGCATTTCCCTGAAATGAAAATATTAAACAAAAATCAACAGATAAATAATAAATTAATAATACACTTTAGTATAAGCTGGTTATGACGAAGAATTAAGAAGATTACACCATAACACGCAACATTTACAGTCGATTTCCAATTATATATATTCTTGAAATAGTAGACACTGAAATGAAGTAGACACTGTTGTGGTTTTTTCACAAGGTGGTTTTTAATATAATATATCATATTAAATATTATATATATATATATATATATATATATATATATATATATATATATATATATATAATATAAAGATATAGAAGATCAGCGTATGTATGATTTTTTATTTTAATCATTAGTAATATGCTAAAAGAAAATTGGTATTGCTTTAGTAACACATTCAAAAATAAAAAACAAAAACAAAGGATATAACCTTTGCAATATAACATATAAAAAAATATCTAGAGCCCATATCTTTGCTCCTAATTGTCTGATTTTAACGACTTTTTTTTTTTTTAATTCAAATAACCATATACAGTATTGACAAAAAAAGTGTATACTTTTTGAATTATTCGAAATCTAATTTTACCATCCCTCGCAACTTTTTTTCCAACTTCTATTTGTTGGAGTATGTTGTATAGATAAATTTATAGAGCTTCGAGAAGGAGAGTTTAGCGAAGTTTCATAGAAATCGGTACATTCGTTTAGGCACTACAGGGTATTTTTCGGTCGTCATCTTGAAAGGAAAAGGCGGATAGAAATGTCGACGAAGATAGAAATGATCTCTGATTTTAAATTCAAATTTTAAAAAAAATTGGTCCAGTAGTTTCGGAGAAAATGCAAGGACGGACAAAAAAATTTTTATTCGTTTTTCGAATACTACGTATCGTAAAACGTGAAACCTCAAATTTTGAGACGGGGGGGAGTTAAATTTTTGAATTTTTTATTCGATCACAATGGTTCATTATTGAAAATAATAAACCAAAATATTTTTAGTCAAAAATTATCTAAAAATATCACCATAAATTTCTAGATGGCTGTTTTAATTATCCAATGCCATAAATATTAAAAAAATTTAATAAAAATTAGGTGGAAATGTCGTCAAACAGAATAAAAAAATTTAACTCTGTATTAAATATTCAATTATATATATAATATATATATTTATTGAATTGAATATGTTCTAACCTCATGGTTATTATCCTCATCTTTTAGCAGCTGATGCAGAAGCTCGTTCTGCTTCTTCAGGCCAGCCCTAGCCTCAACATCATCGTCATCGCTTTGGGTGTTTAACAACTGGGACAACAATACATCGAAATGAGGCAAAGCATCACAAATAAACATCATAATAAGCACTTAATTTAAATTTTCATTGGGTAGGGGGGAGTACACAAATACCTGCCTGAACAAGATAAAATGACATGTTTCATAATTTTATCAAGAGAACAAGGAATAGTGACTGTAGAACAAATCAAAAGATAAAAAGAAGGGAGACAAAAGATATTCTGGTCTGTTTACTTAGGACTGGGTATTTATCAGTTAGTGAAAGTTGGTTTTGAATTCCTATTGGTGTTTTTGTAAACAATATATAATGGCTTCACAGTTATATCAGTCCCAATGCCTACTATATTAGGAATAATTATAATTTTTTTTGCAAAATATAATCCTACAAAATGTGATCAAGTTATCAATAGAATAATAGGATAAAACATTATCACTTATTGCAAACAGAGATAACAGTGCATACAATTTATATATAAATTATTTGTTATCCTTATCATGTTTTGTAATTCTAAAATTTAGCCCTCTCCAAAAAAAAAAAGGTATTGATTGAATAAATTTCTGACAAGTCTATTTGCATTTTTTTTTTTTTTTTCAGCTATATATAATAAATTTTTCAAAAATGGATTTGATCTCTTTTTGATAGTAATGGCATCTCATGAATTATTTTACTCTTAATTATAATAAAATAAGATTAAGAAATTAACTCTGTATGCACATATATATCAATTATTATTTCTTTCAATATACTTCTAATGAAAACTACAAAAATTTTATTTAAAATATTTTTAAGAAATTATAAAAAAATTTTATTTAAAATATTTTTAAGAAATTATAAATATGAAAAAAAAAATCTTTAAATTGGTGAGATAAAATTATTAAACACATCAAAATGAACAAGCAGATTTTGCAAAATATGAACTTGAATGATCTAATTAAATCCAGGGAAAATGCATTGCATAATAAATTATAAATAAATAGAAACACCAGAGATAAAAAACAAAACAAAATTAAAGTAATCAATAATAGAAGTTGAGTAGTGAGAAAGTTAAAAAAAATAAACAAACTTTAATTCAATTTAAACCATAAACATCCTTTACAATAATTAGAAAAAACCCATCGGATGAAAAACACACAATGAAAATATGACCAACAAATACTTCCCTAAAATAGTAATGGTTCAAAAGTAATAGCTTTATTAATAAAGGTTTAAAATCAAACTTCATGTTAAGAAAAAATACAAACAAATTCTTTTTAAAGAGATTACTGCTTCTGTAATTAACATTATTAAAATGAGAAAATCTTTCAAAAATAAATTTCTAATGATTAAAGTTTAATGCAATAAATAGAATGAAAAACAGTTTTAAATAATAATTTATAAAAAGTATTTGTGAAGTAGTATCCAATTTTCATCATACCTTTTTAAAATGTGAATTATTTCTATCCTAGACTCATTCCCCCTCCTCCCTCAGGGTTAGATCACAAAAAATTAAATCCTGGATCCGCTACTAAAGCTAAATAATATTATCAATAATAGAAAGTTGATCATTTACCTTCAATAACATATTATTGGGCGGTTTCGAATCTTGGGGTTGCGATTCTTCATCTTCCTGGTTCAGAAGATTTTTTAATATTCTGTGTCTATTACGTTGAGCAATGTTGCCTCCACCGCCATCATCCGATTCCGTAGATGGCCTCTTGGTCATCAGGAGGTTTCTTAGTCTTCCGGAATCTTCCTCCGGGGGTTCTTCCTGAGTTGTCTCCTGAATCGGTGAGAAAGCGTATGGAGTTGAAAATGGAGTGGTGGCAGGGGATTGAGCAGGTGGGTTGGAATATAATGGACTTTCTACCGGAGTCAAACTCTGACGAGATTCGGGCCTTTCCCAAACTCTCTCGTCACTGCTAAGATCCCAAGTCGAAGAACTCGGAAAAATGTCAAAATTGAAATCCAGATCGGTCGAGTTGAGAGTGACCGAATGGAAGGCAGAGCTATTGTTTAAAGTGATAGTGTTACTCAGGTCTCTGTTATTGGCTCCGTTAACACTAGCAATAAGAGGGCCCCCAACTCCGCTGGTTGAAGTGCTTTGTTGCTGCTGCTGTTGCTGCTGCTGCTGTTGTTGGTGTTGGTGTTGGTGTTGGTTTTGGTTAGTATTGTTACTGCCACCGATGGCCTGACTGCTGCTGCCAGCAGGTGATCCCATATTGATATTGATATCAATATCTCTGTGAAAAAGAAGAGTTGAATAAATAAACACATAAGTAAAATCGTATCTCTGTATATTGAATTTCCATAAATCAAATTCCTCTATGCATTCAATTTTTTTGTAATTTAATTTTTATTTTTAAAAACTTTATATATCTAAACATCAAACAAAAATTCACATCTGAAAAAATATATATAAAATTTAATTGATTATTTACATAATTTTGGACCAAAGATAAGTAATACAAATGTGGTTTGTCATAGGATGCATAAGTCGGTGTGAAGAGTTGAGATTGAATTTTCAAGATTGTTATCAAATATCGCATTTTCTGAATGTGTCCATATGGGTCATAGTAAATTATTATTAACATTAAATTTTTGTTAGAGGGTATCTAAAGTTAATCTTTTAATTAAATTAGATGTTAAATTTTAAGTTTAAAACTAATATTTGATATGACGTATCATGTTTTTAGTTTTTACTAATAATGCTTTAAATGGTATATAACTGAAGCAAATGAGAAGTACGCGGTGCAGTAAAATGTATTAATGTATTTAATGATAATGAAACAGAAAATAATTTTTTTTTTTTTGTTTTTTTGTCACATGTAATTATTAGTTATAAAATAATACTTACCCAAATATTGAATGGGTAGCCATTAGGAAGTCATTCTCCATCTGGCGATTGGCTGATTTAAACAGCTTAAATTTAGTTTGAACGTGAAGAAAGTTTTCAGGGGCAGGGGCAATAAGAAGTTTGTAAATAGCCGTTGAACTTTGTCCTGTAGTCAACGCTTCTTTAATATTAGATAGAACTTTGGGAACGTCGCTGCTTTGAACTAGTTCTTCTAAATTTCTGTTCATTAAATCCTGGAAATAACAATTTCAAAAATATTAGTTTAAAAACTAACAATGTTAGTTAAAAAAAGTTTTGAAATTGCATCGGCAGCTGGAAAACAAGCTTTCACAGTCAAAAACTCCCTTTTTTCGGTTTAGATTTTTAATAAGAGTATTTATAGAATTTTTATTTAAAAGGTCAGCTAAAGGAATTGATTTTATCATAAAGTAAATTTAAAAAATGGTGATTGTACGTTCTTAGTTACTCAAGAGATATATAAAAATCAGACAATTCATTGAACGAGAAATGATATCTGTAACCTGAGCCCATTTATTATTTATTTTTTTAAAAAGTTACTTTGAAACTGTTAGTTTTTTTATTAAATTTCATATAAGTTTCAAGTCTTGGAAAAAAATATCTGTTGCATACATCGCACAACTTTCACGAACCACTCTCTTCTTAGCAGAATTAAATATTTTCAGACAAAGAGGAAGTGAAAGTAAAAATTATTAACGTTATATTGATTTATATTTCATTGTATGTATGTTTATTTGTTTAAATACCCTACCCTCATATATACAAATTTTAATTTTTTATACCGCTGTATTCTATACAGTTAAATATTAAATAATACCAACGATGGTACTTATGAAAACCGCATATGTATATTAACATAATATTGTCGAAGGCCTTATTATATGAAGCTCTTGTTACGTATGAAGGCCTGTTGTAATCTTTCGGGCAAGCTACTATTCCTTTGATTCCTCCATTACACCTATTATCCGTTATGATTTCTTATTTCTTCTTTAGTTAATTATAAAATTCTTTCCTATTTTATATTTAACTATTTTTTATATCAAAGATTAATGTGAAATGGTTAATTATTTCAAATTAAAAAAAAATGAAGGTACTTTAGAGGAAGCCAATATTGAAAATTAGCCATTTAAGACCGGATAGAGAACATCAATGAGAATAAAACCTACACTATATTAAAAACTGCTTAATAATACACTGATATAATGAGTTTAATCAAATTGTTAGAGCCGTTTTTGAGAAAATTGTAAAAATGTCTTAAATCGATTATATAAAGTACCACTTCCGGTTTGCTGATTTTTACGAAAATGTTGCTGTAACATCGAAGCTTATAAAAACCTTAAATATGCAATTTCACTTTCATACGACTTTTCGTTTTTTAGCTAAACTGATAACATACATATATACACACACACACAGACCATTTTGCAGGACTTAATTATTTGGACTCAGGAGACCTTAAAACATGTATTTATTTCCTTTGAAAACTCAGACTCGAAAATTTACACGATCGCAATACTTACCTTTAAACGCAATATTTTACCTATATATTGCATATATAAGTAAGTAAAAGTAAAAAGGTATATGATTCCCATTCTGTCTCTTCTTTGAAAGTTATTTTGTTATATATAATTGACTTTCATAAAGTATTTTTCATGTTCCGTGATATAAAGCATCAAAAACCGATGAGACTTGGGTTCGGTACTTTGTAAGGAAGTACTGTGGTGTCTTGGCCAGTGGTTGTGGAAGGAGATGATTTGACTGAGATCAAGCTCGACCACTAGGTTTTTTTTCCCTTAATTAATTATTAAATTAAGAATACCCACTTTATGGAGGCTGGGTATGCCCCAGGAGGGTCTCCTGACCCCAGAAAAGATTCTATGACCGACGAATCAGAACAAATAATTTATCAGCCATCAGCTGGATTTGAACTTGGGACCTTGAGCATTGGAAGTCAGTACTCTACCACTGAGCTAACCTATTCCTCATACATTTTGATTATTCTAAATATTGCTTTCAGAAAAAAGCTCTTTTTCCAGCTACTTTCTGAATTCACAGTAAATACAAATGCTAGCTTATTGATATAAAAATTAATAATTATCTACTTATTGATTTTTTTTTTTTTTAAATGGAATTGAAATATTTCTTTACCTTACTGATGTATTGTGAATAAGGAGCAGAAACGCCGGTATTATCTACATTTATAATCCTTCCAGAGGTAGTCAGTTTCATTGTGAATTGCTCAATAGGTGAACCCGTAGGCTTTTCATTTGGTGGAATTCTTCTAGCCACACACATCAAGCAAGGTCCGGACTCGCTGCTACCATCGTCGTCTTTGTCTACTCCACTACTTTGGGGAAGTTGTGTGGAGGAAATCTGTGAATGAACAGAAAACAAAAATTAATACTATTCTTTCATGAACATTTCATTTCAACTAAGATAGCCTTTGAGGCTATCTATAATAGGTCTTATAAGCCTAGGTGGCTTGACCTCTAGGTCAAGATTCGAGCATAATTACAATATTACTCAATTTCTGTGATTTCTTAGTTAAATTAAAATAAATATGGTTGATTACAAAGTATTTAACAAAACGTAGACGATAAACTCACTATTTTTTACTTTTCGCCTCCCTAACATGGCGTTGTGTTACAATTGATACAATTTTAAATAATAGCCCATTACAGAGAGGATGAAATGCTAAATAATTCCCTCGCTTACAGTATTCAGGTCCGATTTTTAGTTCATGAGATATTTTAATCCATATCTTCAATAAAACTGGTTATCATTTGGTTTTCGACCCTATTTTTTCCCTTTTCACTTCTCTAACAGTGTTAAGATACAATTTTCAATAATACAATGATGAACATTTGCCTCGCTAACAATATGCAGTTCCAATTTTTAGTTTTTGAGATTACAAGCGTTACACTTCAGAGATCTGACACCTCAATCTAATTCATTCTCCACAAAAAAAAGTGCAAAAAGCTATCTAAAGAAATTTTCATTTCGATAATAATCTATATTTAAAATTCGAACAATGTGCAATAACTATTGTCTTATCAATTGATAAGAACTGTTGTTCCTCTTTAAAAGCGGTAAAAGATATGCTAGTTAAACTGAAGGGGACAAAGAGCCATTCGAGGAGAAGGTTCCCGAGCTAGAGTTGTCGACGACTGTACTAATTTGTAACTAGCAACTAATGATGCTATTTCTATTTATTTATTATTTTTTTGTTTTGTAGAGAATTTAATTGCTCTATGATCGGCCATATATATAATAAACTATAATTTTTCAGTTACACACAAATAAATTGATATTTTCATCATAAATTTTCGTTTCTACTTTTGCTGAGAGAAAAAATAGCTCTTTGCTAATTATTGATACACTAGTAGGCCCGAGCGAAAAATTCGCACAGCATATTGTTATCAAATGCCAAATTAATAAGAAAATAAAAAAATGCGAGGTATCAAAAGATAAAGAAATCAAATGTTACTTTATCGATACATATAATCGACAAAGAAAGAAGATAAATAATATAAACTCCTCCTCTCTCGATCATAGAGGCCTCAAGTCGACGAAATGAGACATGTATTCAATGACAGTACCACAATTAATGTAAGGCTGTATGGATGCGAAGCCTATGCCTTGCGTTATCTCGAAAATAGTATATTTTTGGGCTTAAAAACGCATGATCCGATAGTTCCAGAGGAACTATCCGGGTTTTGTTGTACGCATCAAAATCTTCAAGATCCAATTTGTCCCGCATAGATCTACAGACCTACTACCATTCCAGTATTGATGCCTAGCAAAATGTTTGTATCGACTTTATTTATTTTAGAAAGAAAAACAAAAGTGGAGAATATGGTTCGCTAATCCCCCGTGAAATTCTGAATCCAACGGTACCCCATTTATGGTATTTGAGCATGACAGGAGCTTGTATTTGGTACAAAACCGATTTCGAGCCTTATTGTAATAATATATGTGGGGATAGACATGTTCTTAATATTATTTTCAAAGTAATTTACCTGCATATTCTCATACTTGGACGGTCTTTGTTGCTTTTCTTCCACAGTCGTATCTGGAGGAGGTTTGATGAGGAAACGGCAGTTAAATGTTCTAGGTCTTGGTGGATGATAGTCGTTGGACCAGCTCATAGGCAAGAGCCAAGACGAAAACCTAGCGTGGTCGCCGTGGTGTATTATATTGTACACCGGCTGGCCAAGCACCTCTTCACGACGATATTTTATGAACTGAGTGATATTCTCAGTACAAAACTCAACTTTGCCTTCCGGATTCACAACAAACAGAAAGCCTTCTAAAGCCTGATAAAAAAAAAAATTAAAATAAATGCAATGGTTTTTTTAACAATATACATAAAATAAATATATTTACAACTTTTCTTTAATCGACCTCTGAGTTTTACATAATTTTATTTTATTTTTATTATATTTTTTAATATTTTAACATAATTATTTAATTGGGAATAAGTTAACTTATTTATTATTCAATAAACTACTAAATGTTCATTGCTTCTGTGTTTATTCGATATTTCGAACCCAGTTTTTTTTTAACGGCAATTAACAATCAGTCCTCTTCAAAGTTTTAAAATAGAACCTCGATACCTCATGCCAGGGACACACCAACAGTCTCAGCACCGTCCATTGGTGCTTAATATATGTGCTGGTGGACGGTGCTGAGACTGTCGGTGTGTCCCTGGCCTGAGGTATCAAAGCTCTATTTTAAAACTTTGAAGAGGATACCATTGTTAACTTATAAAAAACCGGGATCGAAACGTCAAATAAACACAGTAGCAATGAACATTTAGTAGTTCATTGAATAATTAATAAGTGACCTTATTTTCAATTAAATAATTATGTTTATATATATATATATATATATATATATATATATATATATATATATATATATATATATATATATATATATATATATATATAAAACATTATCGGTTCAAAATCAAAACCACAAATATAAAAAAAAATCTAATTTTATTTTGAATACCTAATGGTTGACTGTTGTGTATTTCAGCGCAAGGAGATGGCCCTGGGTGGCAATAATAAAAATACTAAAATTGTGAAAATACTATTTTATTTCAAGTTGACTTTTCGACCTGACTTTGTAGGTCATCTTCAGGGCTTCAACGAACAAGATACAAAAGGATATAGAAAATTGTGGAAGTTACAAAATGTTTAGATAAAAATCATAAACAATGTGAATAAACTTATTAAAATTATAAATAGCGTGAATAGAAAGTAAAAATATATCTATATCCTTTTGCTCTAGCCCTGAAGAGGACCTCCTAAGTCAGATGAAATGTCGACTTGAAATAAAATAGTTTTTTTCACTATTTTAGTATTTTTATGATTGTCACATCAGACCATCTCCTTCTTCTAATTTTATTTGTGCTAAATTTGATTTCTTTGAGTTTTGGAAAGTCAATGATGTAAACTTCAAATCTCATTTTCTCGAAATTGGAAATTAGTACATTTGTGGGTTTATGTTTGGTTTGATAATATAATATGAGTGTAAATATATGTTGAAACTGTAAATATAAGTTGAAAACCTGAGAATAGGCTAATTTTTTTTTTTTTTTAAACTATCAGATATTATTTATTTGGTATTTTGTTGCCTCTACCCTGTAGGGTCATTGGCAACGCCTTTACATTACACTCTGTTGTAGAGTTTTATCACTTTCGTAAGCGATTTCGTCAGGGTCAGTTATAATGTCTTGTCCACTCTTTATACCAGGCAATTTCTTATTTATAGTCCCTATGGTCCCAGCTGTATCAGATATTAAAAAACTAGCATATAATGGAAACTTCGTTGAACTATACAAAGCTTTTTAGTTAAAAACAGGATGCAAGCATTTAAAGAAAAAAAAAAAAAAAAAAACGAGTATAACAAAAATTCAGAAAATAGCAATATCTACAAGTAATAACTATAACAAATTTAAATCCATAACATAAATTAACAAACTGAAATATTATTATAAAAATATTTAAAAAATTAGACATAGACAATTTCAAATTTGCTCTCAAACCCAGACATCTTACACGAAACTTATTGACAAAGAGAAAAGACCCAACACATATTCAGAACCATAGAAGTTTAGTTGAAATATACCATGAGAAAACTGCATAAAAGCATATACATTTATGACATCAACGGATATAATAACTCAAATATGTAACCACAAGAGTAAGTTAAAAATCAATCCAAAAACAACCACTGCCTTATCTAACCACGCAAAAAATCATAAGACACAAAATAGATTTTGATAATACTAAAATACTCTAAAAATCTACCTCCCGGTCAATAAACCAAAATAAGGTGCTAAATTAAAAACAGGCAGTGGCTCATAAACCACAACACTACTCGCATGTAATAGCCAACCATAAAAGTTTTTTTTTTAAAATAGCGAATAAAATAGTAACTTTTTAGGGTAACTTGTAGTTACCACCCTGGAACCTTGAGCTTTTAAAGTTGGTACTAACCCACTGAACTACTCCCTAATATATAGGTATATACATATATAACCTAAAATATATATAAAAAATAATATAAAACGAAGACATCAGAGGGAAGGACAGTAATGAAGACACAAGACTTCTCATTCCCACAATTATTTCTCCCTTATTATGCTTACAAATTGGTAATTACAATAATTATAATTATATAATAATGTAAATAGACAATAAGGCGCGATGTATAATATATAGATTTTTTAAGAAATTAAAAATTTGTCCTAACTGTTGTTTCCTTCAGTTTATTTTATGTTAATAAAAAAAAAAAAATAATAATCTGAACTACAGAATACCTGTAAATTACAGTTATACAGTTTGAGCAATGAATAATTAAACGAACAGTTGTATAATTTGTAAAATGGGGGATGGTCCGCTGTTAGGCAGACAGGGGTTACCCTCCTAGTATCATAAAAGAAACTACTATTAAGTAAATGGGAAGATATTAAACAATAAAAATAAAAATTTTAATATATTTACCTCAAGTAAGAGTGGCCCAAAAACCTCATTAGTTAGAATAGTAGGCTTGCTGGATGAAACCTCACCTTGTTGGACGGCATCACTTGCGGATCCTCCACCCTTTATCGTCTTGATCTGCGGAACAATAAATTTTAATTAAAACTTAGTTCAACATTCAAAATTAAAATTAGGTTATAGGAGAAGTTGATTGGATAGTGGAAGATGAGGGATGTGGTACATAATGAAAAAAAAAAACTCAGCATTTGGCATAAGAGCAATGGTTTTTCTTCCAATTCTGCAGCGAGAACCACAGGCGGATCTGCAGGGTGGAGCTTTCGGGCATAAGCCCCTTTTGTTGTTATTATTGTTAATATTAAGTATAATAAAATGTTAATAATTAAAATTATCGGCACTAGTTCCCTTCCCTTTTCGTAACGTCAAGATGGTGGCCAGTTTCAAGATCACAAGAGCACACTACTCCTAGATTTCCAAAAATACCCTAATGTGTCCAAAAGAAGCCCCCCTCCTCCCTTCCCTCCCTATTTTTAGAAGGAAAATTATTACTTAATTAAAATAGTCAATAATATTTGTTAAAATACTGAAATACTGTCCGAAAAATTTGAGGTTCGTTCGGGTTTAAAACAGGGGGATTCCCTTTCGCATGTCCTGTTCAATTTGGCATTAGAACATGCCATTAGGGAGGAAATGCGTACCGAAAATGGTTGGATCTGGGTGGGACAACATCCGTGCTGGGCTATGATGATGATCTGGTACTGTTAAGCGAAGACGTGGAAACTATAAAACTAAATACGACAACGTTAATGAAAGCAGGTGAAGAACTAGGACTTGGAATAAACGTGGATAAAACAAAGTATATGGTAAGCTGCAAAAATGGCGATACTACTGGCGATATCGATATAGATGTTAATATGTTTGAACAGGTAGAGAGGTTTAGGTATCTAGGGTCTACGATAACTAGAAAAAACGAAATTGAAGAAGAGATTAAGGTTAGACTGAAGGCGGGAAATGCTTGTTATTTTTCTGTGACAAAACTACTTAGCTCCCGCCTCTTGCCCCGGAACTTAAAAATTAGAATCTATAAAACAATTATCTTATCTACAGTTCTTTATGGATGGGAAACTTAGCCGCTTACATTAAGGGATGAGCAGCGTCTTAAGGTTTTTGAAAATAAAGTATTGCGTAGAATAATCGGACCGAAGAAGGATGAGTTAACCGGAGAGTTCAAACGGTTACACAACATCGAATTGCGTGAACTGTATCCGGGTAATATAATTGAGGTGGTAATTTCATCGCGGCGAATCAAATGGGCTTGTAAAGTTGTTGGGCTTAGTAACGAGAGAATTCCTAAAAGGTTAATATTTGCTGTACCGAATGGTAAACGTCCGAGGGGTAGATTGAAGCGAAGGTGGGAAGATTGCATTAAAGTCGATCTGAACTGTGGATTGAGGTGTGTAATAAGCAAATGGTGGTGTAGGCATCGAACCTTCGGGTTCGCTAAGCCTTTTATTATTATTATTATTATAAAATACTGAAATAAATATAATTCCTGTTATTAACTACAGATAATAATAAGACACTGTTATGAATTTACGTATAGATCAAAATTTTCTGTTTCATATTATTTTATTATGAGTAATTTCTTAATATATGTTTTATCATTATTCGTATTTTCTCCATCCCACACATTTCTCCGTATTTATCAATAAGGTGGAGAATTTCAATTTAATTTAAATTAAATTAAACACAACTTTTTATTATTACTATAATTCTCTATATTATAAATGAAGATCCTGATTTTAATTTAATTTTAACATTTTATGTTGGATGCAAACGAGCTATAAAGGTTATCTTATTTCTTTGCAAAAAATATTTTGTTTATTGCGTATTTTATTATTTTATATATTTACGTACTGAAGATTAGGGGTGGGAGAGAAAACGCCAAGCGTTTGATAAGAACAGTTCTTGATCACAAACGAATGAACTTTTCTTCCAAACTGATAACTTTTTTTTTTTTTTTTAGTTCACCCGTTCGCCACTAGTCGAATTACCGTTTTTCGTTTCGTTTTTTCCAAACGAAACAGAAGCTCTTTCTGTTTTCCAACTATCCTATCAGTTCATCATGAAAAAAACCTAACAGTTTTCTTTAATAAGACATGTTTCAACTGTTATGTTTAGGGATGTAATTTTTAGCTCCCATTATTAATGAAGGATACGAATAAATAAAAACTTCCATTATAGTTACTACATTACTAAATTAACTTAAACATATTTGTAGGCAAAATTAGTTTATGTTTTTAGATGTATCTATCTATAATAGTGTCTTGCAGACCGAAAATAATTTTTATGAATGAACATATTCACATAAATCAATTTAAGTACATATATAATATTTAAAAAAAACATTGTTCTCTTCAATTATTCACTGTAGTCAACCATTAATCCACAATTATAAACACTATTATGTTCTATAAAAATTGAAAAAGGCAAACAGTTGAAAACATTTTTGTACTACAGTTAAAAGACTTATAATGACAAAGCAGCGTAATTTCAAATTAAGAACAACACTTGATAAAGAAATATGGCAAAACATTTATAATAAATTTGTTTGAAAAGGGAAAAATTCCTAAGCTCAGCGCTGAGCTCATCGATGGCACCGGATCCATCTTTACGCTGGGCGAAAGGATGTCATCAATAAGTTAATACAAGAAAGTTAAAATATTATTAAATTAAAAAGTGTTCTATGCGTAAAAAATAATTTTCAGTTTTAATTGATTAAAAAGTAATTTTTAAGATTAAGCATTCGGCTAATATTAAAAATAAATTAAAAGCATATCTATTACAAGCTCGAACAATGCCAAAATTTTTACATAAAACGTTTCATTCATTTCCAGACTTGTCATTAAACGAATTGAATCGGTTTTAAAACGAATAAGACTGTTATCAAACGAATAGGTCTTACACCATGAATCGTTGCGTTTTTCTATAAACCATTTTTGGTACTAGTTCACAAGAGTTCCGCACGGATTACGCGTGGTTCACAATCACTTCGATCACACTTGTTCATGGAATCCCGAAAACAGCCGAATGTTGTCGTCTTTTATGACGTCAGCTATTGCCCCATAATACAATCCCTTTTCATGCATTTTTGAAAAAATACAACGTATTCTCTTTAGGGAACTTCCTTATTAAAAAAATGTGTATTTACTAATTAGTTAATTATTAATTTTTATTATAACGGTTATTATTTTGAAAGAAAAAGAAAAAGAAACATAAAATAATGTTAGAGTAGTTTCTTCAAGCCATATTAAAAAAAAAGCTTTTAGTAATAACATTTTTATTGACACGTGCTTACTTGTAGTGGCTGTAAATACGCATATACTGTATATTATCTTTTAGAACTGTGTATAAAAGATTTTTTATCATTTGGATAATAAATAATTTTAAGTTATCTATTATCTTTTTTTTTGTTATTCGAGTTTTTCAATAGAAGTTGGAATAATTGAATTTATAATTTATTTTAGCAAGCCTTTTTTAGAATTACGCAATCGTCTATCTAGTTTATGTATTTTTTTAGATTTCTAATAATACGAGGGGCTATTTTCTAGTGGAGGGGGGCGCTTTGTATGCATATACTGTCTGATTTGTAATTATGATGTGTAATTATTGTTATTCGCAGTTATTTTTCTTGGTAATCCGAAAAAAGGGATTATTGTAGGCTATGGTACAAAAAAAAAGTATTTATTTTCGAGAAAGGAATTTGGGGAACAACTGATGAAGAATATGTAATAATGTAAAGTACTTAAATGGCGGGAAAGTTAATAGTAACTGACCCAAGAGATCGGTCGCCTTCGTTCTCTTTCGGAGAAACACGAACGCATTCGGGATTCCAGGAACAAGTGTGATCGAAGTGATTGTGAACCATGCGTAATCCGTGCGGAACTGTTGTGAACTAGTACCCTATTTTTTTTTCAAAAATTTTCAATATTTTTTTTCAGTTCATTTACGTTTTTCAAAAGTAGCAGAAACGCCCACCTCTATGTACATTAAAGGAACTTAGTTGAAAATAGATCGACAGTACTCGGGTACTTTCGGCATTCATCGGGAATCTTAGAAGAAGATTAGACAGAATAACTCCAATTTCAACATTTTTGATTAGTGATATTTCTAGTTGGAAAATTTATAATATCTGTATAGACAATGGGTAAGTTTATTCTAGAGTTCGTGATTGCAGTATTGAAATATATAACTGTGGATAAATTTATAAATTTTAGTAGTAGAAATATAATTAAAAATATTAATAAATAATGTTGAAATTGGAGTTCGTCATTCTCTCAACTGAAAGGTTCAAATAGGCTAAGTGTCCACATTTGAAATCAATCAACAATAAAATTTAATTAAATTGACTCTATTACAGACGATAAGTATTTTATCTTAAGTTATAATTTTCCAACTGTATTTAAGAAATTATTAACCCGTTATCTGACCATTATAAGTTGATAATTATGTTGATTAGTATCTATTATATGTATTTACAAAAAATATATATACTTGCGAATGCGTCTGGTCACGCAGTTTATAGAATTTCAACAATTAAACGAGTGAACCCGAGCATTCCCGAACACCTTTCGATTGAACCTATTTATCGATAACGTTTACTTTATATCAAACGGCAAATATCAAAATAGTATGATTGAAATTAATGCATTTTTTATTGTTCCTACAAACTTTGATTACGAATACTTGTATATTTCCTTATTAATCAGTTCCATTGAACTGTCATTACAAAGAATAACAATATTAATGATGCTAGAAATGAAAAATTAGGCATTTAAAAGAGGTTATGTTTAATTTTTTAATGTTTAATAAAGCTCTATTTCAGCTGAAAAGTACCCATTTGAGTTTTCTTCATCTCATGAGCGAGATGAAATCCGATAGCAATAATCTAATTAAAGCAGAAATAATTCTGATTTCCATTAATAATTCAAATTAAGCCATAATATGTAGAATAAGTGAACAATATATTCGATTATAACACAGTTTTTTGTATATCATCATATGCCTTTTTTTTTTTTAAATTATTTTAATTGTTGAATACCTCTAAATACATTCTGTTAAAAAGATTTTCGTACACGCCCTGCTACACTTGGAAATCTTAGGAATTCCATCTACAGAGCGATCACGTGACCTTGATGCCAGTCGCCATCTTGCCGGTCGTATTCAACACTGTCACCCAAATATAATACGTAGTAAAAATAACAGCTGATGATTTTATTAATCACGCATTTAAGTTTATTAATTAATTAAGTATATTAGTTTAGCTTATTAATTACGCTTAACAATACTATTTTTATTTTTCATTAAAATAGGCCAATTTGTTTAATATTTATAATAATTAAAAAATATATACAATTAATATATCCAATTAATATTTTATAATTAATATAGTCAACACAGTCACCCAAATATAATACATACTAATAATAACAGCTGATGATTTTATTAATCACGCATTTAAGTATTCAAATTATTTATTATAAGTTTAAATTAAATTAAAATAATTTAGAATATTATGTATGTGATTAAGAGAAACACAAATACTTCAAAATGTAATTATAATTTTATTTTCACTTTTTGTAACTGATATAACAGAATATGATTTAAGCTTTAAACAGTACTATTTTTATTTTTCATAAAAATAGCTCAATTCGTTTAATTTTTATAATCATTAAAAAATATATATATATAATTAATATATCCAATTAATATTTTATAATTAATATATTCAACACAGTCACCCAAATATAATACGTACTAATAATAACAGCTGATGATTTTATTAATCACGCATTTAAGTAATCAAATTATTTATTATAAGTTTAAATTAAATTTAAATAATTTAGAATATTATGTATGTGATTAAGACAAACACAAATACTTCAAAATGTAATTATAATTTTATTTTCACTTTTTGTAACTGATATAACGGAATATGATTTAAGCTTTAAACAGTACTATTTTTATTTTTCATAAAAATAGCTCAATTCATTTAATTTTTATAATCATTAAAAATATAGATATAATTAATATATCCAATTAATATTTTAAAATTAATATATTCAACACAGTCACCCAAATATAATACGTAGTAATAATAACAGCTGATGATTTTATTAATCACGCACTTAAGTAATCAAAATATTTACTGTAAGTTTAAATTAAATTTAAATAATTTAGAGTATTATGTATGTGATTAAGAGAAACACAAATACTTCAAAATGTAATTATAATTTTATTTTCACTTTTTGTAACTGATATATCAAAATATGATATAAGCTTAACAATACTGTTTTTATTTTTCATTAAAATGGCCCAATTCGTTTAATATTTATAATAATTAAAAAATATATACAATTAATATATCTAATTAATATTTTATAATTAATAGATTCAACACAGTCACCCAAATATAATACGTACTAATAATAACAGCTGATGATTTTATTAATCACGCATTTAAGTAATCAAATTATTTATTATAAGTTTAAATTAAATTTAAATAATTTAGAATATTATGTACGTGATTAAGAGAAACACAAATACTTCAAAATGTAATTATAATTTTATTTTCACTTTCTGTAACTGATATATCAAAATATGATATAAGCTTAACAATACTATTTTTATTTTTCATTAAAGTGGCCCAATTCGTTTAATATTTATAATCATTAAAAAGTATATAAAATTAATATTTTATAATTAATATATTCAAACGTCACCCAAATATAATACATAGTAATAATAACAGCTGATGATGTTATTAATCAAGCATTTAAGTAATCAAATTATTTACTGTAAGTTTAAATTAAATTTAAATAATTTAGAGTATTATGTATGTGATTAAGAGAAACACAAATACTTCAAAATGTAACTATAATTTTATTTTTACTTTCTGTAACTGATATATCAAAATATGATTTAAACTTTTAACAGTAGTATTTTTATTTTTTATAAAAATAGCCCAATTTGTTTAATATTTATAATAATTAAAAAATATATACAATTAATATATCCAATGCATAAACAAAAAATGAATTGAGTAGCCTATTCACATCTATTTATATTGAATATTTTTTTTTTAAATGTATAAACATATCTATCACTTGTGAATAATATGTTTAATGAAAAAAAAACAAGGTATTTTTGGAAAAACGAAATAGAAAGTTTAGATTTTTTTCAAAATTAAGAAATACATAAAATTTCAGTTTAAAGATTTGAAAACCTTTGATCATTTCTCGTCATCTAATTTTTATTTATTTTTTTTAAATTGTTTTAAAATGTATGTACTTAACATCATTTACACTACATTTCTATATGTAAAACGTTTTAAGTGATAATTAGTTATATAAATAATTTGATAATTGCAAGCCATGTTTATTTTAATAGAGTTTACGAGACAGCCAAGTAAATAATAAATTGTATCTTTAAACAATTGTTTACTGAAAATTAATAAAAACTTTTGCAAAATTAGAAGTGCCTTTGACTCCATTTTGAAAAGTGTAAGATCAATTTTTGAGTGTCAACGCATTATACACAAAGGAAAATTCATCTATGTAATATTAAAACAAATAATGGTAAATTAAAATATGAATTAATAAAACGATTTAGATTTAGGCAAAAGTATTCTTAAAAAATGATGTACTTAATAAAAACTGAAAATGTATAATAATACTACAAGCCATTTTCGATAAATCTGACTACTTCACAAATAATTTTCGGTAAATCAGTCAAGTTTAAAATTAACTTCACAAGAGGTTTTGATCATACCTATCCTAAACTAAAACAATGTTTAAATAACGTGAATCAGGATTCAAATTTTGTATTAAGCTATTTTCATTTCAACCAACTTGTATTGTAAAGAATCAATTTTTAAGAAATATATATATATAAACAAAATTTAAATAAGAAAACAAATATATATATATAAAAAAAAAAAAAAAGTGATGAATGTTACGTGTAACTCTAAATTAATTTTCAAAATTAATGAGAGAAAATATTTTTGAAAAATATTAATAAAAATTTTATATATTGTACAATATAAATGCAACATTTTTCATAGTGTAAAATTTATTACGTACCTTCAAAATTTAAAGTTAAAGTATTTTTATACCATTCATCATCCATGTGAAAATCATTAGAAGACATCAGAAAAATATATTATAAAATTAAACTAAATAAACTTTTTTTTTTAAATTTTTAATTATTCAAATTCAAGAATAAAAAAATATTAATTATTAAACTAAATTTCTATAAGATAAAAAAAAGTCGTTATGTAAATTTAAAAAAAATAAAAGAAATTAAAATACAAATTAATAAAAACTGAAAATTTATAATAACGCTACAAGCCATTTTCGGTAAATCAGTCAAGTTTATAATTAATTTCCTAAACTAAAATAATGTTTAAATAACATGAATCAGGACTCAAAATTTGTATTTTTTTAATAAGCTATTTTTACGGGCCAGCCAAGTAAATAATAAATTTTATCTTTAAATATTTGTTTATTGAAAATTAATAAAAACTTTTGCAAAATTAGACGTGCCTTTGACTCCATTTTGAAACGTGCAAGTTCAATTATTGAGTATTGACGCACGATACATAAAGGTATATTCATTCATTTTTGTAATATCCGCAAAAATTTGCATAATTGACAAAAAGAAAAAGAGAAAAAAATACTTTTTGGTGAAGCACATAACCAATATTCACAAAATTGCACTTGATACACTATCTATAGATACCATAGATATAAGTGACACAATCTATTTTAAACAGTTTGTTGGGACAAAGAATAGTGCAATTATGCAAATAACTTAAAATTTATGGTTATAAAAAAAAAAACTATTATTTATATTCAATTCTAATAATAAATCAGAGACACAAGATAATATGATTTGGATATTATAAAAATTTATTAAAACAAATAATGGTAAATTAAAATATGAACTAATAAAACGATTTAGATTTAGGCAAAAGTATTCATAAAAATGACCTACTTAATAAAAACTAAAAATTCATAATAATGCTACAAGCCATTTTCGATAAATCTGACTATTTCACAAATAATTTTCGGTAAACCAGTCAAGTTTAAAATTTATTTCATTAGGGGTTTGGATCATACCTGTCCTAAACTAAAATAATGTATAAAATAACATGAATCAGGACTCAAATTTTGTAATTTTTTTTTTGTTTTTTAATCAGCTATTTTTACGAAACAGCCAAGTAAATAATAAATTTTATTTTTAAATATTTGTTTATTGAAAATTAATAAAAAAATTTGCGAAATGAGACGTACCTTTGACTGCCTTTGGTAATTTTCAAGTTCAGTTTTTGAGTGCCAACGCATTATCTGTAATATCCACAAAAATTTGCACATATAAAAAAAAGAAAAAGAGAAAAAATTACTTTTTGGTGAAACACATAACTAAAATTCACAAAATTGCACTTGATACACTATCTACAGATACCATAGATATAAGTGACAAAATCTATTTTAAACAGTTTTTTGGGACAAAGAATATTTCATTTATGCAAAAAACATGAAATCTATGGTTATAAAAAACAAAACTATTATTTATATTCAATTCTAATAATAAATCAGAGACACGAGATAATAAGATTTGGATATTATAAAAAATTATTAAAACAAATAATGGTAAATTAAAATATGAATTAATAAAACGATTTAGATTTAGGCAAAAGTATTCATAAAAAATGACCTAATTAATAAAAACTGAAAATTCATAATAACGCTACAAGCCATTTTCGATAAATCTGACTACTTCACAAATAATTTTCGGTAAATCAGTCTAACAAGTTTAAAATTAATTTTACTAGATATTTTGTTCATACCTATCTCAAACTAAAACAATGTTTAAATAACGTGAATCAGTATTCAAATTTTGTAATAAGCTATTTTCATTTCAACCAAATCGTATTGTAAAGAATCAATTTTTAAGAAATATATATATATATATATATATATATATATATATATATATATATTATATATATATATATATATATATATATAAAAAAATTGGATGATGAATGTTACCTGTAACTCTAAATTAATTTTCAAAATTAATGAGAGATGTTTTTTGAAATTTTTTTTTTATAAATTGTACAAAATAAATGTAACAGTTTTCATAGCATAAAATTTATTGCATACCTTCAAAATTTAAAGATTAAGTATTTTTATACCATTCATCATCCATGTGAAAATCATTAAAAGACGCCAAGAAAATATATTATAAAATTACACTAAACTTTTTTTTTCTTTTAAATTTTTAATTATTAAAATTTCAAAATGAAAAATTATTATTTAAGAAACTAAATTTCTGTTAAATATATTTTTTCAACACGTATAAATAGGACACACATATATATATATATGAGTGCTCTCATATCAAAGATGGATGGAGATCTGTCATTTTTGAAAAGTTGAGAAAAAGCTAAGTTTCAATTTTAAAATAATTCTAATTTTTCATGGTTAAACTTAAAATATTCTTAAATAAAATCATCAGAAAAAGTTTGAATTTAACAAGTATTGAAATTTACTTTTTAAAGATGGCAGATAACCCATCTCTGATATGAAGGCTTTATATATATATATAAACTGTATAATATATATTTAAATATACACTTTATAATATATATTTAAATATATATATATATATATATATATATATATATATATATAAATTAAAAAAAAAAAAATACTAACTGGTAAACTGATCTTCGAAACAGACCAAGATAGAACAGGAGAACCAAGACGTCAGAATGAAATGAGAAGTCTAAGAGAAGCTAGTAACTGGTCAAGCTCTAAGCATAAACTGAAGATCTGTACTGAAGCAAGAGAGGCCCTTTGCAACTATACCCCTACCCTAGAAAGGGTAGCTCTACATACCCCCCACCACTTGGACAAAATTTTATGACCCTAGAGAAATGAGATATGGCCGTCAAAACGTCTTGACAACCTGGGATCCTAGGACCCAGTCAGAAGCTACTAAGTACCTGGTACGTGCAAGGTTGCCCTCATAAACCCTAACTTCTTCCCTTCTCGTCCTAGAAGCTATCCAAATAAGGAAGAAAGTAGAAATATAACAAAGAATAAAAATTAAATTAGCTAATTATCATTATTACAAAAAAAAATTCTATAATTATTATTTAAGTCAAAAAGGTAGGAGATGTTCCGGGGTGGCGGTCATAAATAGGCAAAATAGTGGTAAAACTATTTTATTAAAAGCCTTTAATAATGCATGTTCCTTCATAATGCAACGGTCGACTATTAAATATTCAATATTATTTAATTTGCAATTAATTTCTTTAATTATGAGTTTTGGACAAAAATGCATGTTTTGAGGTCTCCTGAATCCTAATAACCATTTTCCAATGGTCTCTCTGAGGATTTATATAATACATATAAATATATATATTATGTATCGATCATATACATTTTATATGATCGATTTTAATTAAACTCACTATAAGCAGTTTTTAAAATAATGTAGATTTTATTCTCATTGATGTTCTCTAACGGGGCCTTAAATGGCTAATTTTCAATAATAGCTTCCTATATTTTTTTTTAAAAATAATTAACCATTACATATTAATCTTTAATATAAACAATACTAAACTATAAAATATGAAATAATTTGATATTTAATTTTACTAAAAATAAAATAAAATATGGTAACGGATAATGGTTGAAATGAAGGAAACAAAGGAATACGAGTGTAACCGAGCTCATCCGAGCTCACCCAAAAGATTTTAACAGGCTTCCATACGTAACATGAGTTAAATATAATACGGACTCGGACAATATTATATACATATACATATGCGGTTTTCATAAATGCTATTGTTGGTATTATTTAATATTTAATTGTATAGATTATTTTGATATAAAAATTGTGGCGAACAAAGAATAAAAACTAAAATAGCTAATTATCATTTCTCCCAAAAATTCTATAATTATTATTTAAGTCAAAAAGGAAGGAGATGGTCCGGGGTGGCGGTCATAAATAGGCTAAATAGTGGTAAAACAATTTTATTAAAAGCCAAATAGCTTTTATGATGCATGTTCCTTTATAATGCAACGGTCAACTATTAAATATTCAATATTATTTAATTTGCAATTAATTTCTTTAATTATGAGTTTTGAAAAAAAATGCATGTTTTTAGATCTCCTGAGTCCAAATAACCATGTTCCGCAAAATGGTCTGCCTGTGGTTTTATATAATACATACAAATATATATATATTATGTATTATAAATAAATTTTATATAATCGATTTTAATTAATCTCACTATAAGCAGTTTTTAAAATAATGTAGGTTTTATTCTCATTACGGGCGGATCTACGGGGGGGGGGGCTTTCGGGCTGAAGCCTCCCCCCAAAATGAAAAAATATAACCATGTTTTATCGAACAAAATATTAAAAAAGTATCTTTTAAAGTGTTATTGTTCGTGTGATTAATATTAAAAGGGCTTTAGGAATCACTTAAACACCATTTCATACAGGTAGTTAGTTTCTTTCTTTTTTTCTAAAGTAATTATCGTTATTTTTATGAAAAAAAAGCTTTCGGGCTGAAGCCCCCCCCAAAATTAAATCCTGGATCCGCTAGTGATTCTCATTGATGTTCTCTAACAGGGCCTTAATTGGCTAATTTTCAATAATAGCTTCCTTTAATTTTTTAAAAATAATTAACCATTACGCATAAATCTTTAATATAAAAAAATAGTCAACTATAAAATATGAAATAATTTGATATTTAATTTTACTAAAAATAAAATAAAATATGGTAACGGATAATGGTTGAAATGAAGGAAACAAAGGAATACGAGTGTAACCGAGCTCACCCAAAAGATTTTAACAGGCTTCCATACGTAACATGAGCTAAATATAATACGGACTCGGACAATATTATATACATATACATATGCGGTTTTCATAAATGCTATCGTTGGTATTAATTAATATTTAATTGTATACATTATTTTGATATAAAAATTGTGGCGAACAAAGAATAAAAACTAAAATAGCTAATTATCATTTTTCCTAAAAATTCTATAATTATTATTTAATTCAAAAAGGAAGGAGATGGTCCGGGGTGGCGTTCATAAATAGACAAAATAGTGGTAAAACTATTTTATCAAAAGCCAAATGGCTTTTATAATGCATGTTCCTTTATAATGCAACGGTCGACTATTAAATATTCAATATTATTTAATTAGCAATTAATTTCTTTAATTATGAGTTTTGAACAAAAATGCATGTTTTGAGGTCTTCTGAATCCAAATAACCATGTTCCGCAAAGTGGTCTGTCTGTGGTTTTATATAATATATATAAATTTATATTATGTATTGTACATAAATTTTACATAATCGATTTTAATTAATCTCACTATAAGCAGTTTTTAAAATAATGTAGGTTTTATTCTCATTGATGTTCTCTAACGGGGCCTTAAATGGCTAATTTTCAATAATAGCTTCCTTTAATTTTTTTAAAAATAATTAACCATTACACATTAATCTTTAATATAAACAATACTAAACTATAAAATATGAAATAATTTGATATTTAATTTTACTAAAAATAAAATAAAATATGTTAACGGATAATGGTTGAAATGAAGGAAACAAAGGAATACGAGTGTAACCGAGCTCACCCAAAAGATTTTAACAGGCTTCCATACGTAACATGAGCTAAATATAATACGGACTCGGACAATATTATATAAATATACATATTAATTGTATAGATTATTTTGATATAAAAATTGTGGCGAACAAAGAATACAAACTAAAATAGGTAATTATCATTTTTCCAAAAAATTCTATAATTATTATTTAATTCAAAAACGAAGGAGATGGTCCGGGGTGGCGTTCGTAAATAGACAAAATAGTGGTAAAACTATTTTATCAAAAGCCAAATGGCATTTATAATGCATGTTCCTTTATAATGCAACGGTCGACTATTAAATATTCAATATTATTTAATTCGCAATTAATTTCTTTAATTATGAGTTTTGAACAAAAATGCATGTTTTCAGGTCTTCTGAGTCCTAATAACCATTTTCCGCAAAATGGTCTGTCTGTGATTTTATATAATATATATAAATATATATTATGTATTGTACATAAATTTTATATAATCGATTTTAATTAAACTCACTATATTAAGCAGTTTTTAAAATAATGTAGGTTTTATTCTCATTGATGTTCTCTAACGGGGCCTCAAATGGCTAATTTTCAATAATAGCTTCCTTTAATTTTTTTAAAAATAATTAACCATTACACATTAATCTTTTATATAAAAAATAGTCAACTATAAAATATGAAATAATTT